CCTGTGTTTGTATGGGTTTCCTTCAGGAGCTTTGGTTTCTTCCCACAGTCCAAAGAGGAAGGTCAATTGACTTCTGGGAGAATCGGTCCTGATGTGAGTCTGTGAGTGCTTGTGTTTGTCTTCCTTGCAATGGACTGGCGTTCTGTCCAGAGTGTATCCTGCCTTGCTCCCATTGCTTGCTGAGATAGGCTCCAGCTCCCCCGCAACCCTATATTGAATAAAGCAGTTGGAAAATAGATGGTGGTAAACTACAGCTTGCTATAAAACCACCTATAAAAGTGACCTTTACATTAAAATGCAGAATAAAAATGTATTGTCCTCTGACATTTTAATATGAAGAGCCGGTATTCAAAATGGATAGTGCTTTCAAGTTTGCTTCCATGAGCAATTAGGACGTTTGGAAGACCTTAAAAGAATCTTTTAAAGCGTCGTGTAGCTTGGTTTATGAAATGTCATCTATAAAACCTTCCTGAAAGAAAAAGACAGTTGTTACAGGCAGACACCTGAGGTCTTTATAAAGACATCATTTCGTAAACAGACACATTGCTTTTACCTCTTCTCTCTGCTGGACGGCTGCCTAATTGCCAGCTGGATGTCAGAGTGTGGCTGCAGAACGTGCTGTTGATCTTCTGTGGGGAGCGGAGTCCCTCAGGGCTCCTGTTGAGCCCCACACAGTTGAGTTAGTTGCCAGCTGATTGTCACGATCATAAATCCCTCCTCTTAAGGACGCTCCAGCCCTTCCATGTTTTCTACTCATCTACCGCGCCTGCCTCCGGTTCCAGCCCCCTGTGCTATATAGGCCAGACGTTCCTGCCTATCGGGACTCAACTTTGGAAGATGGACGCCCGGAAGCCTGCCTAGCCGCGAGTCTTCCGCGGGTCCTGATCTTGGTCCGGGATCAGGGACCGTCTGGTCCCGTGACCCCCTTTTTATTCCCCCGACCCTCCACCGGATCCCGCTCCGGTTTTTAACTCTGTCTGTCTGTCAGGATGGATAACCCGGTTTTGGACATTTGCTACACTCTCGGCTCTGCCTCGGACTCCCTTGGACTGTTTGCCTCGGCCACCAGCGCACCATGGACACGCCCCTTGTTTTCCTTCCAGCCCCTTGCATGCCTCTTTCCCCGTGTTTTCTTCACTCCCCCCTGGATTGTGTTGTCTGCATAGGGTCCTGAAAGGACGCTTCGTGACACTGATTCAGCTTCTAACCGTGAGTTTGGGTGGTGTAAAACAAAAGCATTTCTCCACCATCTTGGATTTACTCAGCCAAGCAGGTGAGCATCCTCACACTAACCTAATTCTTGGGTGTTGTAGCTCCCTATGAAATACTCCTAAAATAAGGTCCCCTCTTTCTGATCAGATTTAGATCTCTTATCAAGCACGCTAGAAGAAAATAGCAAAAGACTCCTGATTAAATGATCTAGATTACCCATTGTCATCCATACAAACAGCATGAGCTGGAATATGAATTAAATTCAAATTGAGGAAATAACAAATCAGGATCTCTTTGTAATACATGAAGACATAAGTGAAAATTAAGTTTACAGCCACTTATGAAAACAGGAGATACTTTGTTATAATGAGGACTGTGGGAGTCTGGCACTGACTTCTAGGAAATACTGTATGGGTGAAAGTGACTCTCTGACATTCTATAAAAAAAAGACCAGGTAGAGCGTTTTTAAGCCAATGTAACACAAGGCAACGTTCTGGCGATTGTTTCAAGCAACGGTTGCAGCATCTATTTGCAAGTAAAGCTAACTTTTATTTAAATATTTGTAAATATTGGATATTTGAATATCTGAGGAGTCCCTTTCTTCTCTGCTTCCTTTGGAAGTGTAGTGTAGCACCAACGCCCAAACCTTGTAGCATTATATCTTTTTTAACACACAACTATAACCTTTACCAGCTGTTTTTTCAAACGTTTGTCAGATTTCTTATTGCCTTACATTATTTAGATCATTATAAATCTGAAGATTAAAAATGAACAGATGTTTTTACAATTCAAGATTAAACCTCGGAAATGTTTGGTACATCTCTTACGTTACCTAAAACAGTCACCCCTAGAAGCTGCTCGATACTGCATAAAGAAGTAACTCGGTTGATAGCGTGTCTTTTGATGTAGTTTACTGAAGAACATTAAGCAAACTAATTGGCACGACAGGCTGAATGGACCCCCCTCGTTTGTAAACTCTCAGGTTCTTAAACAGAAAACTGCTCTATAGTTTTATCACCGATTTGACAAAAGAAGCCAACAGGCATGTTTCCCAAATACATCACCTTTACAGACATCGGTTTTAACTGTTGACAAGAAATGAGGTTGCATGATGGATCTTTCTCATAAAAATGTCCCAGCCTGCAAAAGTAACAACCAAATAGGTGCAAAGAAACACCCCTAAGAGGTATCTGGCAGCAGTGCAGTCCTGTTGTTCCTCAAGTTAACCTCAGGACAGGTTTGGAAATAAATTGCAAGAGCTGATCAGTAATGAAGTAAACTTGCTGATACAGTGCTTGCTCCAGGTCCTGAGATTTGAGCACTTACACGGCATTCGGCTTCAGCTCTTGTCCGATAGCCCAGTGGGACTAATTACAATGTTTACTGTAAAAGCAGCCGAGAAGGTGCATTCCTTTTCCTTGCACAATGATGCTGACTGCAGGAGGACCCACTGCATTACAAATCTAGCGCTAAAGCATTTAACCCTAAAGCCTGCCCTCTCATCGTGGGTGGTTTTACAGCTTAAAAACTCGCTTAACAGAAGTAACTCTTAGTAAAATGTCTCAACATTTCCATAAGCGCTATAAGCGTCTCCTATGCACCCTCTTGAAAAAGGGAAACCACCAACAGAACCTTAGCTACTTTCATTTAAAGAACTTATATTCAATTACAATTGGCCTGCTTTCATTATTGTCTGCTCAACAAAAAGGTTTCTGCCTCGGCGTGTCCGTCTGTGTTTGTGTACCCTGCCCTGCGCGCTGTTGTTGCCAGGATAGGCTTCAACTCCCCCTCATTCCTGAATTGGAAGAGCAGTTAGAAAATGCATGGATTCTGGTGGCAGAAAAGTCTTCTGCTGAACTTCTAAACAATTAAATTTAAATGTTTGATTACTAAATACTCAGGTGTTCAGAAGCTGCCTCAGGTAACAGAAGTTTTGTGTTAAGCAGCAATAGCATAGTCGAGACATGTTTCGGGTACAATAAGCACTCACAATCTGTACATTTCCAGTGCCTGATAATCTCTTACACATTGCACTCGGTAAAAGAAGAGTTATTCTGAAGCCATTGATAAAACTCTTAACAGCTGCTTAAGGGGAAGTAGCCATGTCTGCATTTTGAAAATTGGGATTTAGTCTCTATCCATAGTAATGGTGACAAAATAGAACCATGTTTCGTTATCCTCATAGACCAATAAATTTGACTCCTTTTACAAGTGAAGTTAGGGAAACAATTAGAACTTAACCTGAAGATTGCCTATACAGAATACAGATAGCAGGGGGAAAGATATGGCCTTGTTTGTGACTTTCCAGATAAATTCCAGAGGACTGGATATAGATTAAGAAAATGTTTTCTACATCATCAACTAGCCAGCACGCAACAATTCACTAGGCTTTCGTGAACCAAACACCAAGAAATCTTTACCGAAAACAGCTGGTTTCATAGACTTAACTTGATATTTACTGAGAATAACACCACTCAGGGGTAACAGTAACTGTTGCCGCCTCCTAATTCTCAGTTCCTAGGTTCGGTTAGACCTGAGGACCTTTAGGGTGCTGCTTTCATGTTCACATTTCTAAATTGTCCCAGGTTGCCCTCCCACCCTGGGAACTCCGTGTGCTTCAGGGATAAGCTGCAGGTGAACATGACACTTCCTGAGACACATGTTCTTGATCAGGGAAGGGTGGACACAGCACTGAGAACCGCTGTACAGCACGTTGCTCCGTGGATGTTCAGCAGTGGTTTTGGCGGCAAAAACAAAAGCTCAGCAAAAAATAGCTATGATGTTCCACATACAGCTAAACATGTAAAAGCAGCATTTTTTTTGCTGCAAATCACTTAAAGGAGTAGGAATCCAGCCCAAAGCAGTGTCCAGTCCAAATAAAGCCAAATAGAGCTCAATACCTGAAGGTTACACAGACAAATCCAAATCAAGCACCCTACAACACATCCGTTACCATTAGAAACCGAGTGTTTTATGGACTTGTAGCGACATCTAGTGGTAACATAGAAGCATAGATTTTGCAAACTACACAGTTCAGGTTCAGTAAATATTTAAGAACATTAGAAATAATACCTATTGTATTGAAATATTGTCATTGTTTGCTTCCAATAGCTCAAGAGCACAACAGATAGCTCAAAACTGTTCAAAACCAGCAATGTACACAGTACCATGCCTGTTTGCCACCATCTGTTGTGACAGTCTTAAGCTCAAGCCATTTTCAGATGAAACAGCTTTTCATTAAAATACGACATTTGCTTGCAAGAACCTTCTATGTTGTCATTCTTTTTCCCTCAGGTTGGTCCAGCTATGACTGTTGAGGACAACAGCCTACCAATTGTGTAAATGATGTAAGGCAACATTTCTCTGCTGCCTAGTGCTTCCATTAGCAGGACACTTCATTTCAAATGGGTAAAAAAGGAGGCACATGCTGCTACACATCTAAACACACTATTTACTTTTTATTCTTATGGACTACTCATACTGGCCCTCAAAACACCTCTGAAAAATATTAAGTATTATTAGTGTAGTAGTTCAGGTGAGTAGCCGCGTCAGCATGCATAGTCTGCAAAACAACGTTTCACCTGAAGAAGGCTTCACAGCCGAAACGTTGCGTTTCTCTCTTCTCTTTTCAGCATGGAATAAACCTATTACTTGTTCCTTTGCATTATTAGTGTAGTACAGAAGTGGTAGTACTTTGGGAAATAAGACCATATTGGCACTGAATCCATATCACTTACATCCTGGCACCCTCCCCAAGTCATTCATAAACTGAATAACAAGTCACACGCTTTACAATTTTTTTACAATTTATTTGATGACAATATACAAGAACATCTTCAGCGCTAAGGCATTCCCTGAAAATCCAGGATCACTGCAAGAAAAAAAAGGAAAAAACAAATATTACAAGCCTAAAAAAACAAAGCAACTATACATATGCACATTTCAGAGGAAGTAAACCAAAGACATACACCCATGATAAGAAAAACCTCCATGCAGTTCAACTGCATACATTCTACTCTTGTCATAAACATGCCCACCATTTCTAGGATTTAAAACACCTGTCCTGTTAAATCTTGGCTGCAGGTATTAATCTGTGTTGAGTACAGGATTCCAAATACTAAATTTGAGGGAATAAAACTTTACCAGGAAATGTCTCTTTCTGGATTAAGAAGTACATAATTTCGTGTTTGTCTACGACTCATATTCCAGTGAAGATGTGACCCTAAAACATGTAATTGCATTTCAAACAAGGCAGAACGATATAGACATGCGGGTTCCTAACCTCTGTAAAAAGAGAATGCATGTAAATTGAGGAAGTCATTTGCTTTGCTTCAAATAAGAAAAGGTTTTATTTTGCTACAACGAAAACTGCAAATTTGGTTCTGTGCTTAATTCAGACGCAAACAGTGAGCAATGTTCTTTACACTGATCATTTTTTCACACATCTAATCCAAAGAACCTGGTTCTTATGTGTATTAGTTAACACACGGTTGACAGGTTTTCAAGCATTACAAACATGCAATCGAGCCATAAAAATCAGCTATTAAAGACAGCTGTCTTCTTGAAATTTAAAATGAGTAGGTCAATATTGTTAACACTTCATGCAAAAAACAACCCAACAACTTCACTCTAGTGAGATAAAATACATTTCTCAACTGTTCCTATACAAGCATCGGTTAATTCCAGAACCTGAATAATTATCAAGTCTATATTCAATCCAACTGAATAATTAGGTAAAACATTATTTTTAATGTTGATCTTCAATTCAACAAACCGGAATGTCTACTTAAATTAGACACCTGGTTTAAAACCAAGACCAAAATCTGCAAAAGATAGTTAGAACACAAGCCCATTCCCTTAGAAGATCTACTGACTTCATTAAGGAAAACAAAAGGGATTAGAACAGAGACACAAAAAACTGGGTGATTTAAGGTTGGCGTGTGGGACTTGCAAACATTGACCAACATGTCAAACTAGCAAACTCAAAACGTGATGTGCAACTCGAACAGCACACCATGCTCATTCTTTAATACCTGCAAAAGAACCTTCATTTCTGAGAAAAATCCATGGAGAGCAAAACAAAAAGGCAAAGAAAAAAATGATGAGATGTTACGATATGGTTTGATTTTTTTGATGCATGCAATGTTACAAAGATCCTGGACTTACTAAAACGTACCCCACTGAGTTTCACCTACTTAATGGCTCTTTAACACTGCAAAAATTAGAAACCCCAGAGCAAGACAATCAATGTTCTTTCCAGCACATTAGATTAGTAAAGCTAAAGACAAAACAGCATTTTCTGATGTCTAAAAGATCTATGGCAGATGTAAAAGCATTAGTTTAAGCAGAAACTTCACTCCAGAGAGATTCCACCAGTCTTATAAAGCAGTGAGGGATGCATCTTGTGCTAGGAATTAGCTTTAGCTGCCCCCACCCTCTTCGCCATTGCAAGAAAAGCACATCTACACTACAAGCCACTACTGAAGCCACAGACCTACACATGAAAACGGCATTTACCTTCTATATTCCAGAAGAAAACAAAAAGAGGGAAGATGACAAAGATGGTTAAAGTAACAGCAGAACAATGGGAGACAGGAAAGCGATTAGAATTTCCCCAAGAGATTAAAGGGTACTCTCATCATGTTTTATAATAAATAAAAAGGGTAAAATACTAAATTATGTGTACAGTGGAAAACATGAATAAAGAAATGTGAAAGATCTGCAACTGCTGAAAAACATCTTTGTTTATCAGCTTCCTTTTTTAACCTAAACTGTCCAGAAGGAATGGTATTAAACGGATCAGTGTCATGGGGTTCTGTGGAGAGCTGGACCGTAGGCATTACCTTCTTGCCAGCAGCACCAACGTTAGCCTTGGCTGTTCCCCGGACTTTCTTCATTCTGTTCTTGCGTTCTTTGCGCTGTTTCCTTGAAGTCTTCTTCTTCTCGTAAAGACCATGCTATGAAGAAAATCAGGGAGAGAGACAGAGAGCAATTACTGGAGGCACTCAGAAACTTTCAGGAACTGCCCAAGTCACCAGCTGGGTAACTGATTTGCTGTAAGGTCATTTCGTCTCACCAGCACACATTCTGCCCTCCACATTTCAGAAAAGTTTGAACTCTAGATGTTTGGGTTGCATTTCTAAGAACTCCATTACCAATGAACCAAGGTTATGGCCAAAAATAGACTTTTTCCTAAGTTCATAAAAATAAACAATTTACCTTAAGTTTACAACTTTTGCCATCATCTGCATTGTTATGACGGCAATACACAGGTCAAAGCACATAAAAGCACGCAGCTACAGTACAAATGCATTTTGACTACAGGAAACATGCTTCTGCGTGCTACACAATCTTTTAATTCCACTGCTCAAGCTGCCTTCTACAAGCAAAGGTATTGCGACAATCCAAACAATTCACAATCCAAACAATTAAGGCACAAACCTGTAAATGGAACCGATTTGGAAGGCCAACTTCCAGATTCATTTCAACGTTTGAAATGGGGAGAGTGCCAGAGAATTTGCAGAGTTACTGAAGACCCGAATGAATCAGCCCGCAGTATACGCTCATTTCTCTCAGTGGCCTCCCGATGAGTAGGACTAGTACACTGTCTGCACACACGGCCATGCGCCACCCGGGTGCGGGTACACTGCTCCGGGAACCGCAGTGCCGCTCAGCACTCAAGACCCCTCACTTACTCTGGCCAGTCTGTGCTTGGGCTCGTTCTTCTTGGCGTAGTCGAGAGAGTCGTAGACCATGGCGAAACCCGTTGTCTTGCCGCCACCAAACTGAGTCCTGAAGCCGAATACGAACACCACGTCGGGGGTGGTTTTGTACATCTTGGCGAGCTTCTCCCTGATCTCGGTCTTGGGAACAGTTGCCTTGCCGGGGTGCAGGACATCGACAACCTGTGAATAACAACCGGCCAGCAGTTACCTGACAAGCGGACCCATCCGGGCCGACGGCCGGGTCTTCTCCACCACTTGTTCAGACTCAAGTTTAAAAGAAAAACTGTGAAAAGACCTGAAAAGAAAACCCAACCTGAAGGACGCAGGCCAGGCCACAAACATCACTTTCCCTCTTCTTAAAACCTTTGTAACTGAGAACAAATTTCCATCTGCAATGACAGCCTGAAGAAGCCCTTTATACAGCACTAGATTTTACCAGCGTATCCCGAGTGCAGAATCTTGCTGAACAGTACAACAGCAGCGCTCCAGCAGGGACTCGAACCCACAACTCTCCCCAGTGGTCACCAAATAATTCCCACAGCCAAATCCTGGATATTCCACACATCCGAACTTACCATCTGCTTCCTCTGAAGCAAGCGGTTTGTCATGAACTTCCTGGTTCTGATGGTCACGGTGTCGTTCTGGAAGACAGGACAGTGATACAGCGCATCAGTCTCGCAGTGACTTTCCAGACACGCTCAATTAAATACAGACAAGTCCGCTAGCTCAGGTGCTCTACGTCTAAATTCGAAATAGTTTACCTACATATAACATCAGAACTTTAAGATGGCTTTTGTTGTTTTGTAATCTCAAGATAAAACACAACAGTCAGTCTTAAACTTCACGAAATGAAACGTGACATTTTCATTTGAACTACGCGGGATAAGTGTTCTAAAACGTCTTAATTTAATCGACACAAAATTATCCAAAATGTTCTGGATACTGTAAGCCTAGGATAGACAATGTGACAAATTTGTTGGCACTGCTAAAGCTTTTAATTTTATCAATTCGACTTTTTACGTAAATTTACGTAAATACTTTTTAAAACTAGACACAATAGTTTATCCGAGGGACAGTTTCAATATCAGGGCCCAGAAAATTACACTGACAAGCATTTAACACTTCGGGCAATTCAAATCGGCAACAGTATGAAGATCGATACATTTACATCACATTATAAGAGAAAGGAAAATAAATACCACAAACGTGAGTCTGCAGCCTACTGCTCTACTTATGAATATACTGGTTATACTAGTATTTACTTTTCAGCTAACAATATCGCTTTAGTCTGTCTTTGCAAAATTAACTCAGGTGTTAAGTGAGACCAGGCCACAGGCTGTATCTGGGGGGTACTTTCAAGAAATTAAGTGTTTAAAATGATCCATGAGTCAGTCTTATGCAATATTTCGGTGGTCCATTAAAAAACTGCTTTTAAAACACATGAATCCTAAAACTTTACAACGATGGCTAAAATAATAGATGGATTTTGATCGGATTTTAGGGGCGCTAAACTCACCATTTTGGCAGCTGCCTCTCTCAGGGATGTAAAAAAGAAAGAAGGACCCTTAGTCGGCCAACAATATGCCAACAGGGAACATCTAAATGGTAGGCCAAAAAACTGCCTGAGTAAAACTCACACATCTTGTATTGTTTTGATTGGAAATCTTTTAACTTGAGGTTAATACATTTCCTTTATAATAACACGGTATCCCAAACAGATTTATTAAATAAAAGCTAAAGCATTAAACATCTCTACAACATTATGTATTGAACAAATTAGAAATGAAAACCTATAAAGTATCTGATAATTTTTAAAATTCTACATAAAGCTGGAGAAGTTTATGTTTTTTTATTATGTTAAAATATTTCTTAATCTTTTCTCCCACAAGACTGAAAAAAAGGAATCTTTCTGCAGATATTTACAGAACAACTAAAATTTGTAAGTGCATTTATAAAAATACAAAACAAGATGAAGCAATTTCGGTTCAACAAGGAATACAGTGTAATACAGTATAATATACTGTATTGTATACTGTACTAATTTTAGGGTTTAACTGTAGTATAATACAGTAGTGCGAACAGCCAATAACAATGTCCGCTGTTGCCACTAGAGGGCGGTGTTCGCGGTTGCTGTGTTTTGCAGTTGCAGAGAAGTCTTGCTCTAGAGGAAGCTCGTTGGCGAAGGGGTCATAGGTTAAACTATACATATTGCATAGTGTAGTATAGTTACGGCATGTGATGTGTAGTGAACTGAGAAAGCGTAGAAAAAAACAGGGATTGGGCGTGTATATAGATGTAGTTTATATGTTTTATTAATTATAAACTGCTCGGCAAAACTCAAACCATGGTGAAGGAGCAGTTTAGGGAAACAGATGTGGCTAAAAAAATGTAAGTGCGAACCGCAAACTAACCGTCTGCAATTGAAGTAGCACGCATCAGAAATCTTCAGCTATTGATAAAAGTCGTATGAGTAGTATTTTGTACTCCTGTGTGGTTTATTAGGGTGTGAACTTTTCGGTTCAACGGTTCTGTCTGGAGCAGCAAACGTGACTACAACATAAAAGTGTTCTAATGTTAATAAATTACTTCTACTACAATATAGGTGTACAAATGAAGAGGTACAAAAATATTAACATGCAAGAACCTGTTCCGTGGCACTAATCTGTGTATTGTACCTCCATTTGTTGATTGACTACAACTTTACAACACTAGCCCGCAGAATCTAAGCTGAAAATATTATAGAAATCTTCATGTAGGGAAAAAATACAGTTTTTTATGTTTTTAAGAGACGTTAGAGAACATAGCTTATTTTCTAGTGCTTCGGAATCATTACTTAAGTTTTCTGCATGGACTAGGAAGTCTTATTTAAGAGTTTATTTATTCATGTGCTCTCTCTGCATTGCCATTTGTTGTGATGGCTATTGTAACAGATATCATTAATCCTCTCCTTTGGCATGCATGTGCACATTTTGTCTGTGGTAACATCCAGCGGTATTGCATACCTGCTCCCCTGAGGGCTGATCATTTAGAAAACCCTAAAACGTCAGCTGGACGTGCTCTGTTGCTCTCAAGCCTGGCCCCAGGTGAGTGTTTCACTCCTTCACCAAGCAGAAGGTGCGAAGCTGGATTGTTCACCCACTACTGGGGAACATGAGACAGGTTAGTCTTACCCTACTGATGCTGCTGCAATTGTAGTCCTGCTCAGTACTAGAGACACCACAGGTTCAGACATTTGGTTGTCTGTGCTTGGCTGAGGAGTCAGTGGTGCGAAGCCCCCATCGGTGGGGAAGATGACAGAACGCCTCAGACTCAGAATGACCCTTAAGTGGTACCCTGCAGCCACGAGGTTGCCCTCTTCCCCCCGAGTGGATGTGTGTTGTTCCTACCGGGGCTGTTTCAGTGCTTGTGTACGTGCCCTCCTGCCCTCAGAAAAGCCTTGCCGAAACAAGCGAGTGTATGGTTGGTTGCGTGCCTGTGTCGTGCTCACCTGTGTCTGTTGTTTGGCACGCTCCTGTCTAGAAGCCACATCTGTTTCGGGATGAAGTCCGCAGAGGAGATGCGGCAGCAGGCGCACATCCAGGTGGTCAGTAAGAACCTGTACAGCCAGGACACCAGCCACACGCCGCTGCTGTACGGTGTGCTGGATCACCGCATGGTAAGGCTGGGCGGGACCCCTCTGCAGCTCGCAGTACAGACCAGCTTGCACGGCTCGAAGGGACAGACATCAGTAAAAGCTGCATGTTTTGGGCTTTGGACTTCTTTCTTCGTGCCAATCAGTGCCCAGTTCCACAATGTTTTTTCTTTTCATTTTAAGGGCACGAGTGAAAAAGATCGGCCTTGTGAAACCTGTGGGAAGAATCTTGCTGACTGCTTAGGACATTATGGATACATTGACCTCGAGCTGCCCTGCTTCCATATTGGATATTTTAAAGCAATTATTGGGGTCCTTCAGGTGCGATTAATTCATTTCTTTTGTGGGATATCTCAGTTTGTAAAGGGTTGTGACCGATCGATGTTTACGGCTCTTGAAATGTATTCCCGTGTAATGCATTTCCCTTAATCTAGCAAAAATGACAGAGTTATGAACATTGCAGTTTCCCCTGTGTACAGGAATGCAGAAGTTCCGTTTGGTGGCAAAAAGTTGTGACTAAATATTTATTTAGCGAAGTTTATGTAATTGTATGTGAAGAGTGTTCAGTATTTAAGAAATGTAAAATAGTGTGTCAAAATGACTTATGAATATATCAGTTCCATAAGTGTAAAAATAATTAAGTTTCTCAATATACAATGTTCACATTTATTCATACCTCAGACATATGTTGAAGATGTGCTGTAAGTGTAATTCTGTTGTTCTCAGTTTTCTGGTAGTATCGCAGAGCCTCAGAAAGTATGCCATCACTTATAGAAGCCATCCTAATTGCTACAGAATATTAAAGGAATCTGCTAATAGAAGCATATTATCATGGGGAATGTTGGAGAATTGTCTGAAGAGCTGAGGTCCGATATTCACTCCTGCAACTCTCCTGATGGCTAAAAAATACAAATGGAACCCGGATTGAACTGTAATGGCCATTGTGAAGACTTTTGAGTCTACTGAGATGGTCGTCACTCCACCAGGAAGAGGATGTAGGAAAAATATACCCAAATGTGCAGTGAGAAATTTGTCTTGGGTGGATAATTCGCACACTAGGGCAACAACAAGGAATCTTCAGTTTCTTTGGTAACGTTGGGATATAGTATCAGAAAGACAGAATACCATGGCTATATGATGTGGTTGGATGGAACACAAATAGAGTTTCTAGGCATTTTCACTGGAATTATATTGAGCACAGGAAGATGAAGCTCATGTTAGGGAAAAAAAGGATGGCATTCTTTCTCTGAATAATAGAAATGGTTCAGCTTACGGGTTAATTTGTATCCTCTGGTCCTGGTGTCCTAGGGTGGGACTACAGAATGATTACAAAGATCAGCAAATATCTTAGCAAACATTGATGCCCTTTGTCGGGCTGCTCACAAATGGACTTACCAGTAGGATAACCATATAAAGTCTGCGTTATACTCAGTGACCTAATGGTTAAAGATCAGTGTTTGTGCTTCAGTGTTCATCATGGTAGGTATTAGAATGTTTGTGATATGAGCATAGATTGCAGGTCACTCTCATAGGCTATGCAGGAGCCAGGAGGACCCAGAGAGATTCTGTAAGGAGGAGTGCTCAAGTATCACTCATGACGGGATTGCAAACCTACTAAAAGTGTACAGGAAGTGCTTGCCCAAGGTTATTGAAGCCAGACTTATCTACGGATCTACAGTATCCTGATTGGTGTAGTTATAAATGAGTTTGGCCATCATACATTAAAACTGTATGTGTAGTTAGAAAATGTTATTACTGTCATAAAATACAGAATATACACTTGGATTTTCATGCCAAATCCACTTTTAGTTACTGACTTCTCTTAAATTATCCAACAGTCATCATTTAAACTTCTGTAGATATTTAAAAGTATCTTAGACATTTTGGAATCTGAAGTAGTTAAAAAAGAGTAATTTAAATAATTTTACTTTTTACTAGATTTCTAAGGTTGCACCTAGTAATAAAGTTAAATGTTCCTGTGAATACCTATTTACAGTGACATTTCATGATCTGCTTGACTATTTTAAATGTATCATATTTTATTATTTTCTGCTCTTGCTGTTTACTTATGGTTGTGACTTCCTAACAGATGATCTGCAAAACATGTTCCCATATCATGCTTTCTAAAGAGGAACGGAAGCAGTTTCTGGACGTCCTGAAAAGACCTGGTCTGCCCTACCTACAGAAAAGAGGACTAAAAAAGAAGATTTCAGAGAAATGCCGCAAAAGATCAGTCTGTTTGAACTGTTCAGCTTTTAATGGTGAGAATCAAAATGTCAGATTTTATTTTTGCTTCTTGGATCTAGTCTTTCCCTTTGCCAAAAACAGCTTGTGAAATACATGGTTAGAGCATCATAGGAAAAATCAAACTTAATTTAAGATCACATTATATACTTGAGCAAATCACCATGTACTTTCTTTACTCATGCACAGTGCTTTGTATTCCTTATCTTCTTTGTGCTGACTATTATTCCAGACTGAATGCCAGTCGTCAGCATTATAAGAGGTAGACTGTTACACTAACCACATTGTGGTGTGTGAACTGTTATTTTAAGAAGATTTCTTCTCTTGCAGTACAACAGTCGCTCTGGATCATTCATGTATTTTTTCTTAGATCCATGTCAATTTGTTCTCTAAGAGTTTTAACAGCCAGTTAACTTACATGTTGTCTTTTTCAGTGTGGTAACATCTAGATTTGTGTTATTTGCAGGGCCAGTAAAAAAGTGTGGCTTGCTGAAGATTATCCATGAAAAGTACAAGACTACTAAGAAAGTGGTGGATCCAGTCGTCTCGGAATTTCTCCAGTCATTTGACATTGCAATAGAACATAATAAAGAAGTAGAGGCTCTGCTGGCTAGGGCCCAGGTAAGTGGTAAGGCTAAAGAATACATTTAGTAGGCTGGCAGTGTCTATAGCCACAGTAGCTCGTTGGGGCAGAGCTCATCCTGCTTTCTGTATCATTAAGAGAGCTAGAGATCATGTGATATCCACCTGGATAGGATGCTAGTCCAGTGCAAAAATTACCCACCAGCAATGCTGGTCCTCACTTACTGGGGTAAAGCACCTCATTCAAGGTACAGTATGACAGCAGTGGCCATAGAATGGACTCAAACCCACAGCCTGCCAGCTGCAAGTCCGGTGACGTACCCATGATTGTATACCTTCCCAAAATAATTTTACTATGTGCTTTTAATTTTTTTCATACTATTCAGTTCTTATGAATAAGTTATCCATCTAATTGGTATTAAGGATGCTAAATACAGCTGCCTGCCAAATACAGCTTCTCACACCAAAAAATTCTCTTTCATCGTTCCCTTTGAGTAGTGTCTTGGGCATAATTTAAGCCTGTGATCACTGGATTCAAAATGAACTTTGTACTGCAAGAACTGCTAGCCTTTTCTCTCATAAAGCCTTATTGCGTTTGACTTTTCTAGGCCACGTAGAACCTGTCACTTCACAGCGTGCTGTATGTGTTCAATAATTGGATTGTGTATCTGATTAATAATATCTCTGATGTGTTCATTGCGTAGGAAAACCTGAATCCTCTGGTGGTGCTAAACCTTTTAAAGAGAATCCCCTCGGAAGACGTCCCTCTGCTGCTGATGAACCCGGAGGCCGGGAAGCCTGCGGACATGATCCTGACCCGCCTGCTTGTCCCGCCTCTGTGCATCAGGCCCTCAGTCGTCAGCGACCTGAAGTCGGGCACCAACGAGGACGACCTGACCATGAAGCTGACGGAGATAATTTTTCTCAACGACGTCATTAAAAAGGTGGAGACTTAAAGACTGGTAATGGCGTTTTGATCCACATTTCGGGCAGTACAGGGGGTCCCCATTATAGGTCACCTCGCTCTAAGTTGTTTCACGCTCATGGGGTCGATTAATTGAGGAAATCAACTAAACAGATCCCCGTACTTATGTTTTTTTGGTGGTTTGTGGATTATTCTGCTCCAGAAATTTGTCGACAGTGCTGTTGCACACAACTCAGGTTCTGAATTGTTTGGGCGTAACATTAAAGTTGGGTTCTTACCAACATGTCACAGATCCAACCAAGAGACTAAAGTGTGTTCGCAGACTTTAAATTGCATGAACAGTGTGGTGGAAATCTAACCTGAAGAAGTAATTGACTATTGATTTCGACACGACCAAAGTTCGAAAGAATTTGATGGCGATTTCTATATCTGTTTCTTACGGGTTATAACGGGTTATAGGTACATTAAACGTATACATACCCATGTCTGAACTGTGTGTTTAGAACACATCTCAACCTAGTTACATTTTTCCTTATAATGTATAATATTTATTCCTTTGAGTCATTTTGCTATAAGTTACTTATTTAGGAACTTAATCTGGACTTATAACTAAGCTTTGTACAGTTGGTTGCTGCAAGTAAAACACAATCTATTTTATGGTCTCTTACCTGAGTCTTTTCCATTAATTCTTATGGTACAAAGATCCTGCTTTAAGGCATGTGGGCAAGGTTTACACTCTTACACTCCCAAATCATCCACATTTACACTGTTGTTGGGGGGGTGAGTCACATTTATATGTCATTTTGCTATATGTCACAACATTCTGGTCTCTAACCTCCTAACGGGGACCACCTGTACCACATAAACATAGTGTTTGAGTGGGCCCAGCAAGCACAGTAGCTGTTTAGTGTCTTGTACTTAAATACTTGAGCTGATTTAGGACATTTAGATGCTCTGTAACAAATTCTTGCTAAAAGACAAGGATCCAATGGGACATGTCTAAAACATTTGAGGTTCTTAAATCTTCTATGTTTGGATTTAAGTGTCTTAGTGTTGAATAAAGGATTAATTTGCTATAAGTAAGTGGCATAGTAGTATGACCGCGAGTGACGTATAATCTGTCTAACTTCCTTAAGAAAATCTGGTGCTCTTCTTTCTGTCCCAAACAGCATCGCATGTCAGGAGCGAAGACTCAGATGATCATGGAGGACTGGGACTTCCTGCAGCTGCAGTGTGCTCTGTACATCAACAGCGAGCTGTCGGGCATCCCGCTCAACATGGCGCCCAAAAAATGGACTAGAGGCTTTGTGCAGAGGCTCAAGGGAAAGCAAGGTCTGGAAATTCATTTGAGATCTTTTTTTGACAGTATAGAATGGCATTGAGTCACATAATATTCTTACGGTATGTATGTATTTGAAGTGTTTTTTAAGATAATGAGACAACGGTTCAAAGTCCTCAAAGTCAGCCCTCCGGATAAACCAGAGGGCAGAGGTGGAAACTAAGTGGAAAAATTTAAATTGAGAATGCGCTTCTTTCCACAAATGGCAGTTTTGGAATATATTTTTCTTTCACGAAATGACTGGTTGAGATCCTTGGATCAATTGGAGAAAACAGGCTAGATGGGCTGAATGGCCTCCATTCCTTTGTAAACTTTCATATAATTTCTATTAATATCGTTCCAGTTTATGTAGATAGAATAGACTTCTTTCTTATGCGTATGTCTAATGCACCGCTGGTGAGCCACACTGACTCTGTCTCTGAAGCATGGCCTTTTTCAATAACACAAGCTCCTCCGCTTCTCTGCTATTTATTTCTTGTCAACACTACAGCATGGATACTGTCAAAATGGTGGTGTTTGTACAATCATGTCACTTGCATCACGTCTGACCCTTGTTTTCAGAATTTGATTAAAAGGTCTTCTCATGCTGGTGGTGAAAATGTTCTAGTAAAAAGCATTTAGAAGTAAAATATATCAAATTGTGTTTTGCTTTTCTGTTAGAGCGCTGTCCTGAATTGCTTTAAAATGCACAAAGAATAAAGAGGATTTTGACATTTTAGAGCATTTAAAGATTTTCAAGGTCTAGCTGAATTTTTGTCTGTTAATTGTGGACCTATCAATCAAACCTCATATTTAACTTGGTCATCCTGGGACATTGGCCCCAGTTATATATCCTGAGATGAAAAATCTCAGTATTAAATTTGTGTTCTTTGTGTGTCAACGTTTGCAGGGCGATTTAGAGGAAATTTGTCTGGTAAGAGAGTGGATTTCTCTGGACGAACGGTCATTTCTCCCGATCCAAATCTTCGTATTGACGAAGTTGCTGTGCCTGTTCATGTTGCCAAGATACTCACTTACCCAGAGAAGGTAAACCCTTTGACTTCCTTTGGCATGGGATTTGTGTCTGCAGAGGTTTGGACTGTCAGACTCGAGGAAACTCAATAAATAAACTGTTTGTGTTCTGGTCCAGGTGAACAAAGCCAACATTGACATGCTGAGAAAACTTGTTCGAAATGGGCCTGATGTTCATCCAGGAGCTAACTTTATTCAACAGCGCCACACCAACATGAAAAGGTGTGCGTCTGTGAGAATATCAACAAGCTCAAGCTATATTTTATTTTTTTGGGGGGAGGCGTTGTAAAATGTAGACTCCTTGAAAAATTCATGCAAAGGACTCATACTTTTATTACATTAATTTTATGTGCAATATATTTATGTGCAGCTTTTTTTTCTCAGGTGAAATTTATCTTCCGTAGTTTGTGAAAAGCAGCTGAATCAGGTTGTTGTCTGTCTCCCAATGACTGTACAATGTGAAGAAGAAAGGGGATGGGATTTGTACCATCATGTCCCTCGTGTCAGTTCTGACCCCTGTTTTCAGATCAACTCTAACTATCCATTCAGTCCTCTTTGTAAGAGGTGTATTGCCTTCTGGTCAACTTTTATAGGTTGAGCTCTTTACTTTTTTATGTACTGATACATCTACAAAAATGTTCATTCAAATATTCAAGCTTTTGTGTGCTGAAAAGGTGAAGAAGTCCCTTTTTTGGACTTGTTTAGTTAATAGCGATTCCTCTCTTTGCCAGGTTTCTGAAGTATGGTAACCGTGAGAAGATAGCCCAGGAGCTCAAGTATGGAGACACTGTGGAGCGACACATGATAGACGGAGACATTGTGCTATTCAACAGGCAGCCTTCCCTGCACAAGCTCAGCATCATGGCCCATATTGTTAGTTTGTAGAATTGTTTCCATCTTTTTTTTTTCTGGTAGGGACCGTCCAAGACAATTCTCAAAACCTAGGAGCCACTGTCAGTTCTGTGTTTAGCTCTGGTCATGTTTCAGTCTTTATTTCATTGGCTTTTCTTCCACACAACTGTCCCTTTACAGGCAGAAGTCAACTCTAGGTCTTGTCGAGTCTGCAGGAACTTCATAGTTGGTTAAAGACAAACGCCCGAAACTTGGAATGGCATTTGGAAAATTGTCCCATCTCTCTTCCATAGGCAAGAGTGAAGCCTCACAGAACGTTCCGGTTTAACGAGTGTGTGTGCACGCCGTACAACGCCGACTTTGATGGAGATGAGATGAATCTTCATCTTCCTCAGACTGAGGAAGCCAAGGCAGAAGCTCTTGTCCTCATGGGGGTAGGTGTCATTACAGGAAAAGTGGAACATAAACCATGATACACAAGGAATGTTAAGCAATGTGTTTTCTGGATGATGGCGTCATATGCCATTATGTTTCACAGAGAGATTTTCACTTGCTTAACTTGTGTTTTTGCAGACAAAAGCCAACCTTGTGACTCCAAGAAATGGAGAACCTCTCATTGCTGCTATCCAGGACTTTCTGACAGGTCAGTTTTTTTGGCAGTGTTGGATCACTAAAGTGTAATCATACACTAAATGCTACTTTTAATGTTTGTGCGATAAAGTATTTTTAATAAACTCTGGGATCGAGGTCTCAAACTCCTTCCTTTCCACCTTTTTAGGGCCCTGTGTCGTCTGGTTTGAACCAAGCATTCAATTAACTGCATGATTGTTATTCTTTGGACAGTTCTTATAAAAGTTCTGTAGATGACTAACCTTAAGTGAAAGTTGAGAGTTATCAATTGGAAATGACTAAGACAAATCCTGTACATGTTTAGGAATATAGATAGGTTAATTGACTAATCTCTCAAATTCTTTGAGGCAAATTCTGATTTAAGATTGAAATCTATCTTGTTTGTAATATCAGTAGTGATTTGCTTGGGACAGTGATGTGTGTATGGGGTGGGAGGGTGAGGGCGTGTCTTGTGTTTTAGATGTATGCAAGGCTGTTGTAAGATGAAAGAGGTTGAGAAACACCGCACTAGGCACTGAAGTTTCTATTTCCAGCATGTCTCCACCAGGGGGCTGCCATGAGCTGTGTTCTCAGTGACATTGATAAATATAACTGTCTCAAGTGTTTTTACTGCCAGAGATTTAACCGTGACTAACACCTTTCCCCTTTTTCCTTTACCAGGCGCTTACCTCCTCACCCTGAAAGACACTTTCTTTGATAGATCAAAAGCCTGCCAGATAGTTGCTTCTGTCCTTGTTGGGAAGGATGAAAAGATAAAGGTTTGCCTACCCCCCCCTGCAATCTTAAAGGTAAATGAATGAATAGCAACACATTCTAGATTTATTTTGGTGCTGTTAGTCTTTGTGTTATCAAGGTGTATTTCTTTTAAGAGCCCTTTGCCATTAACTAGCTTGCTGTCAATTCTAGCCCATAACTCTCTGGACTGGGAAGCAGATCTTCAGCCTTATTCTGAAGCCTGGGAAGAGCTGTCCTGTGAAGGCTAATCTGCGGACCAAGGGCAAGCAATACTGTGGCCGAGGGGAGGATCTCTGTCCCAATGACTCCTGTACGTGCAACAGAATACACATGAAAATGTTAAAAGAGTTTTGTAATATCTGCTGCTTAAGGTGAAGCTAAGCTGTGGCTCAATGGGTCGTAAGATGAGAAGAGAAAAGTAGTATAGCCAGCTGCCATGTCAGTACAAGCTTGCTCTGCAGTGCTGCAGCTGGAGTGCCCACGACAAGCTTACTATGCCTTTTCCTAACCTGGATTAAACCCTGAGTTTAACCCACCCACAATTAACAAGCCTGATTGCCAGCATGCACTGGGTAGAAACGTCAGAGAAACACTGTACAATATCCACTGAACGCTGCACTTACTGTTTTCTATGGATTTGTTGTTGTTTTATGCTACTCTTCTATGCACTCTTTGCATGTTGACCAGATCTGATTATAAGTCACCTTCCATCTGCCAGATAAATAAGTAGAAATGTAAGAACAATCTCTAATGAATGTGGATTTCATGTGCTGGACTATTGGTTTCATTTCTTGGTTAAGAAAGACGTTGTTAGTTTTGTTTTGGTAACAATATAAGGATCCAGAGAAACAAATTTAGTTAAGGAGCATTTCAGGGGAAAACAAATCTTTTGCACAGAGAGAGGTGGAGGAGTCAGGACAGCCTCAGTAACCAGGCTGCCCAAGCTTTGACTCTGTGAGATCCCATCAAGAGCCACTTAGTAGATGTCTTAGACATTTAATCTTCTAGCAAGCCACTGAACATCTCATTTGTAACTTTTCTAATAAGCTTAAGTTCTCATTTAATCGCATGGGTGGTCAAGCATGCAATCAGCCCTCTCAAATCTGATTTATTTCTCTGGCAGTTGTGGTGATTCAGAACAGCGAGCTGATGTGTGGCAGCATGGACAAGGGCACTCTGGGCTCGGGATCGAAGAACAATATCTTTTACATCCTTCTGAGGGACTGGGGACAGATGGAAGCAGCCAACGCCATGTCCCGGCTGGCCAGACTCGCTCCTGTCTATCTGTGTACGTTGAGGCCAGTTAAAGCTTTTTATTACCTTTTGTTTAAAATATCGTGACCTCTTCCCTGACAGTGCTGTGCACACATTAAATTACAGTATCTGTTTAACGAGACAAGCACAACTGTACATGAAGTGTGTTGTTGGATTGACATAAAGCTGGACCAGACACTGTTTTGAAGTGGTTGATGGTTTCTGCAGTATAATACAGCTTTTAAATTTTTTCCAAGTTTAAGCAAAGAGGCCCCTCTCTGAGTATCATGTGTTCATCTATCATGTGTTCACACACAAGAAAAAGTTTCAATTTTTTGTTTAGCAAACCGTGGGTTCTCTATTGGTATTGGCGATGTGACCCCTGGCCAGGGCCTTCTCAAAGCTAAGCACGAACTCCTGGAAGCGGGTTACAAGAAGTGCGATGAGTACATCGAAGCTCTCAACACGGGCAAGCTGCAGCAGCAGCCTGGCTGCACAGCCGAGGAGACGCTGGAGGTGAGCACCAGAGAGCACAGTGACCAGTTTTCCTCAGGGGTGGATTGTCTATTGCTGAAGGCCCTGCCTGTCTCATGGGGTCCTTGTGGTTTGAGCCATTAAAAAAAAAATTGCTCTCCTTCTTTCCATGAGACATCACCAGCATTACTTGGAGCAACTTAGACCTGGGCGTTTGTCAGTCTGTTTATGTCAGTCTATGATAAAATGGATGAAAGGTATCTTGGTAGTTTGTTTCCTTTTGTGCATTTACTCATTAATGCAGACCAGGTATTCAGACGGTTTCATCAAAGCCTTGGAATGAATTGTTGGCCCGTCCTGTTGCAGGCCCTTATCCTGAAGGAGCTGTCAGTGATCAGAGACCACGCTGGCAGTGCCTGCCTGAGGGAACTGGACAAAAGCAACAGCCCTCTTATTATGGCTCTGTGTGGATCAAAAGGTGAATTTGACAATTTAGAGATTTTTTTACAGGTTAAAGCAGGTAACTGATGAGTCAGAATCAGTATATCAATCTTCTTAACATTTCATTGAGCGTTTGGAATTTTGATGCCAGAATTGACCCAAATCAGTTTCAGAAATATCGATTTCACATGAAAATGCAGTCTGATATTTACATCAAATACTTTCAGTGCCTTTTAAAGATAGCCATTTACCAATACAGCATCTGTTTGAGTCGGAATGAGTAGATGAACAGTGTAATTTACCGGCTTAAGGGCTTGGGCATAATTCAACATTTGTTCAGTCTGTTGAGCCGGGTGGATGAAAGGGAAAAAAAGGTTTTTTTCACATATAAATGTTAAGTGTGGGTTTTGTTATTTTTTTTCCCCCCAAAGGGTCTTTCATCAACATCTCCCAGATGATTGCCTGTGTGGGGCAGCAGGCCATCAGTGGGTCCCGGGTCCCAGATGGATTTGAGAACAGGTCCCTGCCTCACTTTGAAAAGCACTCTAAAGTAAGTCCCAGCAACAGTCTGTGCGATGATAGTTTTGTCTCTTCTGTGGAGTATCTGTGCCAGCAAGAACAAAGCAAAAACCTTTGTCAAGAGTCGTGACGAGTTGCCTCCTCTAGCGCACAGATATGCTGGGAACCGTCATTTAATTTAGTTTGTGAGTTATGAGCATGCCATGGGCATCTTTCCCTACAGGTTTTTCATCTTGAAGAGTTTTTGGTAACGTTCTGTGGGCTGTCAGCAAAGGCTAACCTGACCTTTTTTTGTGATGAATACGGCGAGTTGGACTGAATGAGTGCTTTGGTCTCAGATTCTGAATTTGAAAATAATGAGCTTGCAGATTGTGATCTGACATGAAGCGCAAGCTGGTTGAAAGTTAATTTGTGAAAAAAGAAATGAAATCCGTTTGAACCCCTCGGAGTAAGTTAAAAGGCTGGCGTTAACAGACTGCTGGTAGGGGGACAAGGATGCGAAAGCAAAAACGATTCCAGTTCATGAATTACATGACAGTGCATTAGTGGTGCACTAATGTGGTGAGATGTGAATTAAGGCTAGAAAGAAAGGGTTTATTCTTTGTTTCACTCTTAGCATCAGTGAATTGGTGCAGGAGGTGTTTGTCAGTTCCCTGAGAGGTTTGGTTTCACAGTTTTGATGTATCGTGATCTCTGTGACGTTTTTCCCTGTTTCATAGCTCCCGGCTGCGAAGGGTTTTGTGGCCGACAGTTTCTACTCGGGCCTGACGCCGACCGAGTTCTTCTTCCACACCATGGCTGGCCGCGAGGGCCTGGTGGACACCGCTGTCAAGACTGCCGAGACCGGGTACATGCAGGTAGGTAGCAGCGGGCCGCCGCCCAAGAGCCATTTTTTGGAGCCGCGCACCCGCAGTGACGTCGGGGTAACCCTTTCCGTTTGGTGTCCTCGCAGAGGCGTCTAGTGAAATCGCTGGAGGATCTCTGTTCTCAGTATGACCTCACCGTGCGGAGCTCCACAGGCGACATCATTCAGTTTATTTACGGGGGTGACGGACTGGATCCGGCTGCAATGGAGGGCAAAGACGAGCCTTTGGAGTTCAAGAGGGTGCTGGATAACATCAGAGTAAGTCAATACTGTTTCAGGTAAAACGAAACCTTAGCCTGTTTCTGTATCCACGCGACCCCCCTGCATCTCTGTCACTTGTTGCCAGCAATCATAAGGACAATGTTCATGACTATAGATCATACAGAGAACGGAAAATGGAAGAGACAGCCAGGCCATGTGCAGCTACACTCTGTAATGCCGTATATTATATCACTGTTGTTGCATATTGTTATTTTGGCTCTAATAGTAATAAAGAGCAACTTGGCAGATGAGATGAAACAACACATGGAAATTTAACTTTAGAGTGAAGAACTTTGTGTTCATTATTAAAATAAGTTTTTAATAGTCCTCAGTATTAAATATCGAGGGTGGTGCGGTGGCTAAGGATCTAAGGTGGCTAAGGATCTGCTCCTGTGTCTGGTAGGCTGCCAGTTGAGCCCCCGAGCAAGGCCCTTAACCCAAACTGCTCCAGGAGTGCCGTATAAATGGCTGATCCCAAGCTTCTCTCCCTGTCTGTGTGTCTCATGGAGAGCAAGTTGGGGTATGCGAAAAGACTTCCCAATACAAGAAATTGTACATGGCCAATAAATTGATCTTAATCTTAATCTAGTCAAGTGTAATTCACCTCTTTGCTGATAAATGGTGCTGTAGCCTAGATTCCAACATTCCTCCTTTCTGTTTTGTTCAGCCTGCATGGCCAGATTCTCTGTTTCCCCATTGAAATAAATGGGTTTTCATTACCTTCTGATTCATGACTGGGCAAACACCTGGGCAAACACCTGACTTAAAGAGATTTTTACAGGCAGATAGCAAATCACTGTACTAAGCTAGAAGAGGCTACTTATGAAAGAGTTAGGCATTTATATTAAAACGTCTTCTAGGCAATGTGGGGGAGCAGTTAAAAGACATTATAAGGATATGTGTTTAAAAGTGTGATGTTGGAATTTTACAGTGGACCTCATTTAAAAATATTGTGTTCAATTCTGGTCACCCTGTAACAAATATTAAAAAGGGAACCTGATATACATGTGCAAAATCTTTAAAGGCACTGAGATCATCAGTGACACTTGAACCAGAGAACATAAGTGGAAACTGATGTGAAACTGTTGGAAGGACAGGAGGCAATTAAATGGTCATGGGAGTGTGGAACATGCTGCCCGGATATGGCCGAAGACAAAACCCTGACTTCTTTCCAGAAAAGGCTGTTCAAGATCCTTCAATTAGTTGCCTAGAAGTGAATAAATTTGATTAGCTATTATTTCTAGTCACTTATAAACTTTAAACTTGAAAAATGGAAAGTGTTATTACGTAAAATAATATTTCCTGAAAATGTTAACAAAGAAACACAATTTTTACATCAAATACAGTTTTATTACCACACATAATATAAATGCTCCCTGACTATGTCAGTTTTATTCAATGCCAAAAGCAATGAGTATTTAGTTTTGGTAATACAATGGACTCATTTCTATCCATATACACATATCCTTGTTTCATGTTCTCCAGAATTTAACCATTATTTGTGAGGTCTAAGAATGTATTTTAAAATTCACATCATCAAAAACCAAAACAAACGGAGAGTTCCATGTTACAGTTGATTTCATTTTTGGTCTGTGGGACAATAATTTCATTTGCAAGCCTCAAGACTTGAATAACAACTGTGGACTCTGTAGCTTTTTGAGAAGCATAGTTTATTGCTTGTGACTCCGGTTTATTTCCCCAGGCTGTATATAACTGTCCAGATCAACCAGCCCTCAGCAAGAATGAACTGGTTTTAACTGCAGAGTCTATTATGAAGAGGAGTGATTTTGCATGCTGTCAGGACAGCTACCTGGAGGTGAGTGTGCTCTGAGTTTCTTGTGCGCAGCGCAATGGACTGTACTCAGCCATCAGGTAAATAAGAAACCTTGGAACACCTCTAGCCGCTCAAGGGTATATATAATTTTTCCTGTGTGCTCTTTAGACATCCGATTAAATTTGTCAAGTTTAATCATCTCACTAATTTTAAGTGCACACCTACGGTAGTTCCTAAAACTACAGTCGCAACTTCCTTCGGTGACGGTGCTGTATTTTCTCTTTATCTTCTGTTGAAATAATCGGTTAGTCTTCCTTATAGACTTCTGCTGCTCAGTCGGTATTTTTTTTTCTCCTGCATTTGAAGTTTATTAGATGTTGCAGGAAAACACTAGCATAGTGTACATCCCTCTTGGCTCCAAGGTGATTTATCTGATTATTTTGAAATAAGAACTACGAACTGTAAGAACTAACCAGAAATTAAATGCTTGCCTGAGCACATATAGGAAAAAGAAATGAGGAAGTGTGGCTGGTACTGAAGCATTAATGTCAGACAGTAGCAATGTTATATATATATTTCCACATATGTATATATTCAGCCTGCTATAGTTGGGTACATGTATAGTATGCATGGCAGATTAATCTGTCAGTTTACTCCCATAACAAATAAGCTACTTCAGTTCATACCAGTGTTCATTGCTGTACGAGTGTACCAGTGCTGCAGAAGATCTGAATTAATTACCCACGCCTACAGGTGGTTGATTATGGTCGTTAGAATATCTGTATTCATGTATGGCAAATGCTGCAAGGAGCGGCCTTGAAGTTTAACCACATTGAATTAATAATGAAATCACAAACTTGATTTCAGGAGTAGATGAGCTTATCATGTTAAGGAATCTGACTGTTTTTGAGACATCTTTGTATAGACTCGTTGGATCTTATGAAATCAGTATGTTTTTATGAATGTATATATACATATTTTGTGTAGATATTATGATGGAAGACAGTTATGCATAACTACAAGCCTTATCAAACAGAACAGTGATATCCTACCTGTGACTTTTCTTATGTTCAGCCGTGTTCACTGGGGAAGCTAGTTTTTCAGCAGTTTGTTTTAAACATGTGTGCCTGTTGATTACAGTGTTGATCTGTAATCAGCAGCTCTTAATCATGTTCAAGGATTTTTGTTATTTACATAAAACTTGAGAATAACCTGGCTTTTGTGTACAGATGATCTTATTGCCTGTTTTAAGGAAAGCCCAAGATGTCTGCCTGAAGAGACCTCTTGTGGGCAATGCTAACCAGTGGGGAATTGTGAGGGATCGGTCCCGAGAGGGGTTGTTACTCAATAACATCAGCACCGGATCAGCTGATGCAGGGGTCTCAAACACAGCGTCTTCTTAGTGTTTGAGGGCTTAGTGTCTTTTAGGTTTTGTTGCAGCCTGGGTTGTCAGTTTAACGTTTTTGGTTTTCTGCCCTTTATTTTGTAAAACATTAATTTTGATAAAGATAAAGTTACCTATAAATCACCTTGGAACCTGGTTATAAGCATTGCGATTTTGCAGTCAATTAAATAATTAGATCAAATGTATAACTGAGATCTCAGGGTGTACCAAAAACCAAAAGACACCAGGAGTTTGAAGCTCTTCTTCGGATGCATTACTGCAGTCTTTCTATACATTGTCTATATTAAACATTAAACTTACCCCTTTGTTTAAAACCTACTTTAGCGATTTAAAAAAACTGTATTCATATGAGTCCAATTAAGCTGATCATAAATAAATGATCAAAACTGGCAGCTGAAATGAGAATTGTTGAAGACATGTTTGTCCACACAAGAACCTTCTTTTTTAATGGCCTTTTCCCATTTTTTATTTGAAGGATTTAACTGAAACAGGTTTTGCAAAGTATTTTGAGGTACTGTTTCGAGCATGCCTTGAGTGTGCTACAAGTTTGTTTGTCATCACATCTTCCCAACAGCTGTTTTGTGTGCACAGCTGATCAATTTTATCCACTACATGCTTGAAAAAGTTACTGATTACTTACATGTGGATGAGTCTTTGCCTTGCAGGCTTTGACCTTTTATTCTAGCAGACTAATCATTTAAACACTGAAACACAGTGTGAAAATGTTGCTTTCTTTTGCTGAAAACTGAAGGCCATGTAACTTATTGTTACATCGAAAGATTTCAGAATTTGGAGCTACCTAGGTATTAATAAGATTAATGTGTGTGTCCTGCAGTTGTACAAGGAATTGTTTTGATCAACTGAATATTTTTTGCACACATTTTACATTAACATTAGACTTTGTAGTTTGTTACGTTTTTGCACATTAGTTACATTAATGTAAACTAATGTTCTGAATTTTGCAAAGATGCATACCTTGAAATTGGTTGAAAAAGAGTTGATGTTGTTTTTTTAAAAGAAAAGTTGAATTAAATAGTCATCTTTTTACTTTTGTCCAATTTAAGGAAATCAAAAAGTTCATCAAGAACATGTCAGAAAAAATCAAGAAAACCAGGGACAAGTATGGCATCAACGACAACGGTACAACGGAGGTAATTTTTCACTGCGCTGAATCATGTGACTGTTGTATCCATCACCTGTCATGCTTCTTACCATTCTGATTTTCTCAAAGCCAAAAGTTCTGTACCAGCTAGACCGGATCACACCAACCCAACTGGAGAAGTTCTTGGAGACATGCAGAGACAAGTACATGAGGTGATGTACGGCAGTGATGTCTGCCTTTCCAGCTTAACTTATCAAAAAAATGTTACCTTCAGAAGAACTGGAGCAAAAACAAAGTATTTTAAGGTACCAAATGTTTCTACAGATATTACATTGAGGGGCACCCCTGAATGAGTAATTAATGCAAAGTGGAAAAATGTCACAGATGTTTTGCTTGAAATGGCATTTTGTAGTTTGTAAGTGGGTGTCTGGGGGCATTATCTGAAAACTGATCCCGATGGAGAGCTTGCAGGGCAGGAGGGACTGACGGCGCCTTGTCTCCCTGTCCAGGGCCCAGATGGAGCCAGGATCAGCAGTGGGAGCACTGTGTGCCCAGAGCATCGGAGAGCCCGGCACGCAGATGACCCTGAAGACCTTCCACTTCGCCGGGGTTGCCTCCATGAACATCACTCTGGGGGTTCCCCGGATCAAGGAGATCATCAACGCCTCCAAAAACATCAGGTGAACCGACGGAAGCTGCAGAGGATTTTTCATCTCAAAAAGAGCAGTGAGGTGATGTGACCTCATGATGGAGATGTTGACCTCAGTGTCTGTCTGCTTCTTAATACCTGCAGTGCAGTGCAGAAAGTAACCCTGGTGTAGTCCACAGATCTGCCGTGACAATGACGAGGGCTTGCCATTTCTCTTTAAACGTTAAAACTAACGTTGGAACATAATAGAAAAGCTGAATGGCTAACTTTGTTAATTTGGCAACTCTTTGTAAAAAAAAAAAAATTTAAATACATGGTTTGGTCAATAATGTGTTGGATAAAAGGAAAGCTGACTTCTTTGGGGGGATGTATTTACAGTACCCCCATTATAACGGCGCACTTGGACATTGATGACGATGCTGACTTTGCACGCCTCGTGAAGGGAAGGATTGAGAAAACCCTTCTTGGAGAGGTAGTTTAAAAATTCTTGAATTTGTTCAGTTGGCAAGGAAAATCTTATTTTGATTCTCGGAAATTCAGAATCTACTGACGTGAGAGATCTCAAAGTCGGTTCCTGAAGCCCAGTGTCTTCTGGGTTTTGTTCCATCCCAGTTCTCAGTTATGTATTTGGTCCAATTATTTAATTAACTGCATAGCTGTAATAAATCTAGCTAGGTTCGAAGGTGGTTTATATGTAGCTGCTCTTTAACATACATTTTATGAGTTATCTGTAGTAAAAAGCCTTAAGACGTCTATCTTGATCAAAGAAAATAATTAGGTTTGATTACTCACGTTGGAACAAAAACTAGAAGACACTAAGCCCTGTAGGGACTGAGTTTGAGAACTGTTGTACTGTTGTAGAATTTTTATATATGCGATATTTAATAGATTGTTGTTTGCTGAAATTGATATTTAGTTTGAAAGTCTACATTTCTTTCAGTTTTGCTTTCTGAATACTTCATTTCTGTCTTTACTTTCTTTGGGTTGAAGTGTGATGTTTTTATACATTTTGGACCAGATGCTCTGAATCTCTGTTATCTTGTATTCTTTTAAAACAATTAAACAGGTATTTCTTATTTTCTTCACAGATTTCAGAATACATTGAAGAAGTCTTTCTTCCTGATGACTGCTTTATTCTTGTTAAGCTCTCTCTGGAAAGAATCAGGCTTCTTAGATTAGAGGTGGGTGGGAATGATTTAAGACATCTTTGTTCACCTGAATGCTAAACAGTGAAACACTCTGCTCAGTTAGTTTATGTTGAAGGCATTTTCCCACCTGCTGTCATCAGAATCGTGTCCTTGGTATGTTTGTTCAGAGTTCAGGCGTTGATGTATTGCTTTGAGTGTAAAGTTAAGGGTAAACCTTCATGAGCATACCTTAGATAAAAACCTTTAATCTTTCTTTAATTGTTTAATAAATTAGAAGTCCAGGCATTGAAACAGACAATGAGCAGCATTGACTGGTGTAAAGAGGGGAAATCTATGTATTGGTACAGGTTCATTGAGAAGAAAAAACTGTCAATAGATTTGAGAAGTACTTCTAATGGAAGCTACTGTGCTTTAACAATGCAACTCCTGTGATGCTTTCTGCTAGTCTGTAGCCATTGAATCTGGAGTTCATAAATGTCCCCTGAGCAATCAATATCAATAGAGGTGGTTCTCCACATTTTTCTTTTGCTTTTCTCAAACCTGGAATGGAATATGGTTTTGGTGCAGAAGAACCCATCAAGAGAGTGTTTACCAAAGTGCTCCCACACTTGAACACTCGCTGTGTGTTAACCAAATACACAACCTTCTGCCAACAAAGTGTGTCAAAACATTTTAGTAGCTGGAAACCCTACAGGCAGAGAGAGTGTTAGACATCTTTGAGGTGAGGGACAACTCTTCTGCCAGCTTCATCTGTGTCTGTGTTCTTCACAGGTCAATGCTGAAACCGTGAGATACTCTATCTGCATGTCCAAGCTGAGAGTGAAGCCTGGAGACATTGCTGTCCATGGAGAGGCTGTTGTCTGTGTGTCACCTAGGGAAAACAGCAAGAGCTCCATGTATTATGTTTTGCAGTCCTTGAAAGAAGAGTTACCAAAGGTAATTATAAAAATAAAGTAAAATGAAAGTATGTTTCTTTTTACGTTATATCATATTGTTTTCATTTATAGTGGATCCGTCTTCTTGTCTATGCATTTGTTTTTTTGTTTAGAGAAATACAAATGCTCCGTACCGAACTCTATAAATATGTTAAGACCTAAGGTCCTTATTCACATTTAAAAAGGTATATTTCATCTATAAACTCATTATTGGATAGGAGGCACCTATCGCGTAAGATTTTTTTGTAAATGTCACTTCCAATTCCTTCCATTGAATTAAAGTCCTTTTCAGTTACTGGTTTACTAAAGCTTTTGAAAACTAAAAGCACTTAAAAGCTTTAATGTTATGCATCCTGGGAGAAAAAGCCACCATTGTGTTACAAACAGAAATGACATGTTCAGTTCATTGCACATCCAAGCATTTTGCAAGTGCTTTAAAAAAAATCCGATACGGGTATTTCCAGTAGAAATGGTAAAAGGTCTATTACTGGTGGATTTTTTCTGCAGTGTTGCAACACGGTGTTCTGGTGGAAGTGCTGGACATTTCCTCTGAAAATTCTGGAGACCCAGAGATTTTGTTAATAGCACACGCTAGAATGCTCTCTGTATGCATCAGTCAGTGATGTCGGGTGCTCATTAATGTGTTCTTGCCAGTTGTCTCATTTTTATGATCTAACGCGATGTCCAGTTCTCAGGAGAGGTCTCTCTTGTGCTTTCTGCTGGCAGATTGTGGTCCAGGGTATTCCTGAGGTCTCCAGGGCAGTCATTCATATTGACGAGCAGAGTGGGAAGGAGAAGTACAAGCTTCTGGTGGAAGGTGACAACCTGCGTGCTGTCATGGCAACACATGGCGTTAAAGGGACTAGAACAACTTCTAACAACACCTATGAGGTAGGACATTTGGGCGTCACACTTGGCGCTTTCCTCGATTTTGGTGGGGTTCTGACTCAGTCACATCAGGAGCACACAGGACACAGACCTCTAAAGCCTTTCCTGGTCAGAGAAATCCTCAGAACTGGGAGAACTGGCTGAACTTGCAGCTCAGTTCCTAACATAACCTCAATGAAGGGGATCTGGGCAGAAGAATAGGATGAAGTTGGACTACAGAAATTTGGGCTCCTTTTGCAGTAACTCGAGTGCATTTTGTCTGCATTTAAAACGTAACCTTTGTGGTTTTCTGGTACTCAAGCTCTAAGTATTTTGTACTTTTCTAAAAGGGTTTTAGTCTGATATGAAAAGTACTCAATTTTGTTTTATTTGAATATTTTTCCCTTAGTTTTGGATTTTATTCTTATAAAACAATATTCAGTAGGGTGGGGGTTTCTAACCCTGGTCCTGGAGAGCCCCAGTCTGCGTTGCATATATATGTCACTCTGACTCACCTGTTTAGCAGGTATTTTGTTGAATTAAAGGAATTCAGTCCTTTGAAAATGTAATTACTTTTTTTTCATTCTGAAATCTTTCTTAATGTCTTTTAAAATATCGCCACTTGCTGTTAAATTGCTCTAGGTCTTTAGAAACTGATGATTTAATGCTAGACAGAAGTCTTCAGAGACAAGTCTGTAGCATGAAATGCTTCTTAGATATTCAGTTTTGGCTTGGACAAAGAAATTCCCTTATGTTTTTCCTTGTCCAGATATTAAAAAGTGATGACATTGTACCACCATTGATAGAAACACAAGTAATCTACTCTGAGTCATAGTTTTTGATCTTGTAATCTTGTTTGTTGAAGGTTGAGAAAACATTGGGCATTGAAGCAGCAAGGTCAACAATCATCAATGAGATTCAGTACACCATGGTGAACCATGGGATGAGCATCGACAGGAGACATGTGATGCTGCTTGCAGACCTCATGTCTTACAAGGTTTGTGTCTGCAGGAGGCTGCTGCTCTTGTCTTGGATCAGCAGAGCTTTTGAGATGAGATAAAATAAGATCTCTTTATTGGCCATATATAATTTCTTGTATTAGGAATTTCTTTTCACATACCCCAGCTTGCTCTCCATGAGACACACAGACAGGGAGAGAAGCTTGGGGTCAGAGCACAGGGTCAGCCATTTATACAGCACCCCTAGAGCAGTTGGGGTTAAGGGCCTTGCTCAGGGGCCCAACTGTTGAGTAGGATTCCTCTGCCAGCTGCACGATTTGACCCGATAACCTTCCAGCCACAGGCGCAGATCCTTAGCCACAGAGCCACCGCTCCACCCCATGGTAAACATCCAACTCAAATTATAAGCAATTATAATCATCTGTCTTTGCTGTAAGACTGCTCTAAAACAAAAATGCAGCTGTCTGTTTTATATTAAGAACTCATTGGGGAACATGAAAAGTTAATTATATCTTAAATACGGAGCAGATTGGTTTGTTGATTGTTTGAGTTGTATTGTTCCTTGGGATGACAAGGGATACTGAATCGTGTGATTTCCATAAATTTCTAGGTGCTCGGTGTTTGATGTTTGAGTTGTTAAAACTGAAATGGGTGGATTAGAAATTGAATCATGTTTAGCCATTCCAAAGACATGGTTTTATTTAACAGAAGAAGAAAAAAGATTGAACTATGGCACAATAAAGGAGTAAAGATCGCTGTACATCTTAGTGTAGCGAATTGTGCTTGGAGAATAAGATGATCTGTTTTAACAATCGGCAGACGAGTCCAGAGAAACCAGGAAAGAGGGACAGCTGACCTGACAGGTTCATCCCATGTAAGGTGTAACTGCAGTTTAGAAGAATGGCTGTAGTCTGCCATCTTCTGCAGGCCAGAGACCCACAGTGGAGGAGCAGAGAGAGCAGTAGATGTGTTTAAGGGCTGTTTCGCTCTTGACAGCCGTGAAGGAAGACGGTGTGTGGAGGTGTCATAGAGAGCTTTAAGCTGACTGTGGCACATGGACAGATTTGTTTTCCCATTCTTGCCATGGGCAGATGTTTCTCCTGACTTGAACCCTCGAAAAGGAAGGTGGGCATTAGGACACTTGTGGACCCCACTTGACAGATCCACTGTGTGTCTGCTGACAGGATTGTGTAAATGTCAGGGAGGTCACACTGATCTCTGACTTTATAGTGTTTCAGTTTTGATACTGTCACAATTCATTCTGAAATTTTGCCTGCATTTTTGTTAACATTTTCTGTGATTTTAATCAACATTTGTTTAGACCCATTGTACCCAAGTATTTTATTTTGCTCATTAGTGCGTATATTCATGATCAATGATTGTTTTTCCGGAAAAGCACTTTGTTGTTGTCAGAGGTCAAGAGCTCAGTACGTTATTCTTATAATTTCCCAGAGTTGTAGGTCTTGGACTTTGATCAATTTCTTTAAATAACCTCTAGGGTGAAATCTTAGGAATCACGCGCTTTGGTCTGGCCAAAATGAAGGAGAGTGTTTTGATGTTGGCATCCTTTGAAAAGACTGCAGATCACCTTTTTGATGCTGCATACTTTGGACAAAAGGACTCCGTATGTGGTGAGTATTTTCATCTTTCTGTAACACAATGTGTCCAATCTTTTAGTACTTTTCTCTAACTTTGTGATTTAACTAGTGAGAAATAAACTCCGAACATATTGCAGTATGGAAGTCTTAAATAGATCCTTTCCAAAGAAGTGTAATTTAGGAAAACTGAAGACTTTATATAGGAAAAAAACTGTCACCTAAAAGTTCCTAAAAAAGTCCTAAAAATTGTTAGCTGCATCATACTTTTTATTTTAAGACTATCTTTTATGTTTTTATTTTACTGAGAGCCTTTAGCTTAAGGTGTAGCATTGGCAGTATTTACACTGTAGCCATTCAGTATACAGTGTGATTAAATTGCTGTTCTTTTCTATTGACATAACAGACTTTTGTGGTTAATAATCATGTATTTTTCTTAAGCATTGGTAATAGCAGTTTCATTCACATAAAGTGAAATTGAAAGTTTACAAAATTCAGAATCATTGGTGTCTGTAACTTAGTCATAATCTGATAATAAAAACAGCATTTTCCTATGTACTTCAGTCTGCACTCGTAGTAGTCAGTTGTGTGATGGTCTTGATTGCTTAATGGCTGAACTAAATTAAATACCCATTTACTTGTACCACAGGTGTATCAGAATGTATTATCATGGGAATCCCAATGAACATTGGAACAGGACTTTTCAAACTTCTGCACAAAGCTGAGAAGGACTCAAGTCCACCTAGGAGACCCCTGCTTTTCGATAACAGTGAATTCCACATTCCCATCATAACGTAGCAGCACTGACATGGATTGTGTCAGATCTGTCTTGCTGATGGCCTGAAACTGTTCCTCAATCCTGGCAGTGAGAACAATATCCAGAAATAATGCCAAACCTTCATACTTGAAAAATGTGGGTGGGAGCGGATTATCTTTGAAAGAAGATCACTTTTCATGAGAACCTCATGAGTGCCAATTTTATGTTGCTAGGATTTAACCATAGTGATTGAGCTGTCACTAAATACTGCTTTTCGTTTCATATATCAGTGGCTGTTTCTGTCTACCACATAAGGAAAATGAATTGTTTACAGTAGGTTGTTTTTCTTCAAGAAAAAACATCAGCTTTCTCAGGTCTGTCACTGTCTCGTAAAGAATGAACCATTGGCAACAATTCAAATTAGGAGTTAAGTAAATATAATTGTTTCTTTAAAATAAAGAACACAGAAATCCTGGTAGACAGAAGAGTTTAAAATAATTTTTGGATTAAGTTTAATGAATAAAAATTCATTTACGTTAGATTTCGTTTATGAGAATTCTACCAATGTCTGAACGAGCAGGTGTTCACATTTGGTAAAAGCCTGTGTAATGATGTGACTGTTTTTTTTTTTGCACACTTTCTTTTCAGAAAGTAACAAGACAATTGAAGAAGTCAGCTGGTTGTATAATCAGGACTTCAGTGTCTGTTTTGATTCCCACTGTCCAGGTTACTTAGTATTAGCTTGATCTGCCAAGACACAGACATGTCTTCCCATGGTTCCCGGATAGAATCCGCTCTCTTCATTCTTTTCTTCTCTTTCCCATCTTGGACATTCACTACTCTTTTCTGGATAAGAGTTATCTGTGTCCATCTCATCTACAACATCCTAAACACATTGGATTTGCTGTGCTCGGTTCTTTTAGTTTGCTCTTGTTTTCACAATGTTAGAACAAATGAATATAATGAAGTACGAAGATGTGAAATATTGGCACTCTGTGTGCAGTTGACGAGCTTTAATGAAATCAAGAATTTTTGTTTCTTTATGTCACAAACTAAGATGACAAAAATAATGCTAGGCAACCCGCTGAGTCTGCCAAATACCTGTAGTTTACTGTATATATTTTCCAGTGTATTGGTTGTGAATAAAATTATCTAAAGTGTGTGCCTTTAATTAATGAAGTCTGTGAAGTGATATATAAATGCTTATGTTATACCTGGCTGGACACATATTTTGGAAATGTGGTATCACATAAGGTTCAAAAGCATTTCAGTGTGAACGTTCTAAGATGAATAATTGGGTACTTCATTTTTATAACCATACCATTTAATTTGCAATTTTCCTTATGAAATAAGAGAAAACAATACATCAAAATACAGTAACAAACAGTAACTTAGATTTTTGGTTTGATGTTGAGAGAAATCATTTTTTCTTTAGTTGTGATGAGTAGTAGTACATGTTAAGTCGTGTATTTCTTGTCTATTTGACCTGTAAAGATTGGCTACTGATGTTTATACCTCACAGTGGATGTACACTGGTTACTCACTGCCCCCCAGAAGAGCAATTTGCCTTGTTCTTTTAAGAGCAGAACGAGAACCCTTTCAAATGTTGTCATTTTGCCATTTTTTGTGCAATTTAGTGGTACCTAACAGCTGGGGGTCTAAAACCCTTATTTTAAATGAAGCCCCTCCAAACTTGTGCATCGGATGTGTTATGAATCATCTTCCAATTGTGAAATGTGTTTTTTAAATAGAAGTAGCTGCTTATGGGTTTTCAATTCGTATTTTTGTTAAAGCATTTATTGGAATGTGTGCATTGCATAAATTATATTAAAATGAATGGGCCTATATAATGAAATTATCCAACATTTGTGATTTCCAACTTCTTTAGGCCCCTTGAATTATTTGGCAATGGAAGCACTATACTAAACCTTTAAGAATCTGATAGTCTCAAGCTTTCTGAAAATCCTTTTATATAATATCTTATTTCATCTGAAGTAGCATCAATGTATTAATTTTTCATCTTAAGGTAGATCTCCTAAGTGGCATAATTTTAAAACTTCCAATTCAAGCATTTAAATAAAAAAATTAAAGCTAATGCTGCATATTTAATATTTTAACATGTTCTCTTAGTATGTAGGGAGTAAGCCTGCTATCTCCACAGGGGTTAATACTCTTCAGCCCCTTACACAGAGCAAGATAATAGAATGCCAAAGCCTTTGCTAGTCATTGATATGCACAGTGTTCTGATAATATACAGAAACCATATAGAATACAGAAAATCATTATTGTGCTGTGATTTGCAAAATAGTGGGTTTTTAAAGTATGCAGAGTTAATAGCCTGACGTCCTGTATTTCAACACGGGCCAGGTTTTGAATAATAGAAAAACAACTAACCAGTGGACAGCAAAATTATTCTTCTTGAAATGCATAGACAGCAGTTCTATTATGGGTGTTTTTAATATAATTTGTTCGTTGGACCACAGTGTGGTAGTTTATGCTTTGAAAACACTTTTGGAACAGTCTACTGAATTGAGCCAAGTTCAGCAGAAACTTGAAAATGCAGCCAGCTGATTGAATTTTTACAGAGAACCTCCAAATAGTAACACATTCAATTTAGAATTAATAGCATTCTGCCACTACTATACATATGTGATCCATACAGTATATATCAACTTCTGGTTGCTAATAAATTCAAGATAATGACTCATTAATTTTAATTGAAATCGTTTTACGTTGATTTAATATGTCCATTGAGTAAAGATTCAAGTCTAGAGTTTTGGTGTCTGGAATCATGTCTAACTGTGATACCAAATAAATAACCAGGAGACCAAACGAAACAAAATTGTATTTACAGTAAATGCACACTGAGCACACATGCTACAAATCTCTCAGGCCAGGTCTTCTACAGTCCAAACCTGCCCTTACTCATTCATTGAAATTATTTAGAGGGTAATGCTGGCTTCTACAGAGCAGAAGGCCTTCCACAGGATAGTCTGCTTTCTAAAACTGCTGCTAAACTGTAAGAAATGTTTTAGTGCATCCTACAGATACAAGCTCTGCCTGCTGGGTGCTAAAAGGAAATATACTGTCCTTCAACTATACAAACGCCTTATTCCCTGAATTTATTGCTGGTCTTTTCAGTGCTCATACTGTAAATAACCTGTTGGGTTTTGTTCTTCAAAGAGCAGACCCAGATTTTTATAACTTGGGCCAGTAGGAAGGTGCAGCTCACTTGTGACACTCTGCTTCTTCAGTTATGGAAGATAAGAGAAAATCACAATGACCAAACCTTAAATATACTGAGCTGTGCTTCTACACTGGCCAATCAGTCAATTAAACAATCATTTTTATTGTTATGTAGTGCCTTTCAATAAAGAGCCTTCTGAAGGCACATTCACATCTTAGCTTGTGAAATTATTATAGTATACTGTATCTGAGCACCTTTTGCACGTCTCTGACACTTTTTACTCGGAGAGAAGAAGCTCACTGTATGTGGATAAACTGGACTGTCACCTCCAGTTTTCTTTACCTAGGCCCAACTAAAAACAGACCTCTAACTGGACTGAGTGCTGAATGGAGGATTCAATAAGCATAAGTCACTTCTGTGGTATATACCTCTAATATACCCCTGAAATGCAATTGTATTTTTTCATTACTTTGGCATTTATTTTCTAAGATCATATAAAAGCACCTGAGGTCTTGTTTCAGAATTAGTAGATTTTTAGTGTCTTATCGGAAATACATAGGTAGCAGTCTATAGTAAATCTAGAAGGGTGTCACATGAAAAAAACTCAGAAGTGTGTAACACTAAAAGAAGGCATGACGGGAAGATAGTAAAAGATAGTGTACTGATTGCTTCCTTGTAACCAGGAAGTTCACCTGTGTTTGTTGTGAAACTGTAAAGCTAGCATCCAGATTTACATAATGACTGTATTTGGAAATCGACTGAAACACTAAATAGTATCCTATCATTAAGTGGGTGTCAGGGACCGATTCTCCAATGATTTGCATTTTCATTATTCTCAATCTACTATCCAGTTTTTAAGGCTGCTGTACTTACAGCATTGAAACATGTGACTGGTAGTGTTTTCTTGGTCTTGTTTATTTAAACTTCAATGACCATTTACCTAGACTTCTGAATATATGATCAACAATGCAACACCTGCAGTTCTTTTCAAATTAATTCAAAACTATTTTTATAAGTAATCCCTATTTAACTTTAAAACATTCAAGAAGATACATTCCTTTGTGTTGCACACAGCCCTTTTAGACTTTAAATAAAATGTTTCCTTGGTAAAAGCATTGTAAACTGAGAAATACAGAAAAACAGCGGATTAAACCTGGTAAATGTTACACAGTGCAGCGTTACCTTAGTAAGTTTCTGTATGAGAATGTGCATTAGTCTTACATTTAAAAAAAAAAATCCAGTGCCGTGGGCTGTCCTGAAGGTATGGAGAGATAGTGGTGCACGAGACTTCCTGATGATCAGAGTTCAGCCATTCCAGGTAAAGGTTTAAATGGGATTTCACTCTCCGTTGTAAGTTAAGCAAAAAGCATTAACAGCAGTATTACTTCATAAGTAATGTTCCATGTTCTCAAAGTTTATTCCTTTTCATGTGACATTCTTTTATAACTGCTATTGGCAGTTTGGACCTCTGCTAATAAGCAAGCAAGACTTGACCGGCTTTTCTCTTAACATCCCAACCACTGAATGTTTTGCCTAATCAACACCCATGGGTGCAGTTAATTGGTTTACTAATCATTAAGCCCAGATCTTGTTTTAAGTAGCATTTCAGTCCTACGGTACACTAACTGATGGATGTTTAAATGGTTTCAGTTGTTGGATGAGATGTAACAACACCATGCTTTGTAACTGAATAGAGATGTGTGTAGCGTACGAAAATAACTAAGATATTTCAAATAATTGTGTTAATAATGATAAAAATCATCCCATAGAGAGGGAAATTGATTTGTTTTGATTGTGATCTAGTGAAGTAGCAGTAGTTGCTAATTACATTTTAAAGAAATGCAGTTGTATAATAAATGCGACACAACTGATAGGGTGACTCCTAGGAGTGAGTGAAATTTAAACAATGTTATTTAAGTCAGAATTAAACTGACATCCTTAGACGTTTATATAATTGACATCAAAGTAAATTAGAAACTAGAGATATACTGTACAGAAAAGTAATTTCAACATTGTATTTCTTCTATGTGTTATCATGTAGTGCATTTGAGATTGTTTTTGACCCATTGTCAATCCAGTTTTCAAGATGAAAGTTTTGATATTATTTACAGTAGATCCTAAAAGGCTTAGAGCTAAAGGAAAATTAATCTAAGATCATTCATTCATGTGACATGATCTCTGCAACTAAAACCAGTGTACCATTTAGTTAAATATCAGCATCTTCTAACCATAAAAATTCAAACAGCTCAAAGAATCTCTCTTGTCATAAGCTCCAGTTATGTATACATTGACATTTCATGAAGAATAACGTTTGTTGCTAGCAGTGGAAACCTTTTTCATTGATCGCTCACAGCACAAGAAGTATGTAAACAGTCAAATTCAGAATTTCTGAAACAACTGATTTCATTTCACTACACATAGAAACCACTGACAAAGTTCTGCACATTGCTTGGAGCCGCAGGTTTCATGTTGAAGAGTATGAAAACTTGGGATGTGAAAATGAATGTGAAGGAATGAGTCCCGTTGGGTCCCATAGAGCGTGTTCAGTGTGAATAAGAGCAGCTGCTTGTTGGAAGCTCACAATGGACGGTTGAAATTTTCTCTTCCGCAAAGGCTGTGGATTGGACTGCATGGGAAGAGGCGGAAACGGCTTCCTCAGACAGATTGAACTGGATGCCCTGCGTGGGTGTACCACCCTGAAATCGTCCCCTCCTCGTGGCGTTTGTGAAGAGCACGTTTGGCTTGGGCCTCTCCGCGGAGACTGCCCGCTGTCGACTCGGGTTCCGTCTCCGGACGCAGCGGGACAGCGTGGACAGGCAGTTCTTCTTGAAATTCTCGTTCATGAAGGCGTACACGATGGGGTTGTTGAAGGAGTTGAAAAACCCCACCGCCTGCACGATAGCGATGATCATGCTGACAGTGACGTCATCGTACTCTTTCTCGAAGTCGTCTGCAAGTAAAGAACGCAAGATCGGTTCCCAAGAAAGGAAACCAAAGTAAACGGCTTCGCTCCCTTGAGCTAAACGTCTGCTTCGAAACACCTTCTGTTTTGTGCCCTTTAGGAGTGGTGAAACTGTGGGGCAATTCTGGCAGCTCACTCATCATCTCTAGGACATTATATCTAAGAGCACAAAACATATATGTAACTATCTGAAAGAAAATACTAAAAATTTTCAAATTCTTGCAGTTCAAAGGAAGTGTATGCCTTTAACCTTTGTGATATGCGATATGGTTAGAATTTGCATAGTTTCAAGGTATGATTTGGGAAAGGAGTTGATGTGTGAATTTGGTATAGAATAACTGTTATTAGGTTTGGATTAGAGTTCTGACACCTATTTTTCCTGTAATAGAGTTTGAGATATTGTATGGTCAGAACTAGTTCCAATTTACTGTTGGGATTAGTTTTGGGTTAAATGCTAGAGGCATAGTTTAAGAGCCATTTTTCAAGTGATCTACCATGACAACAGTTCGCTGTCTTGGTTCTGGAATACCCCTGTACAGCAGAACCCTCATTCACCATTGTTTATTGCTGCCAGAAATAATCCTGCTTGTTTATTTATCTTTTTTCTTCACTTACACCTTGGATTAAAAAGTACATTCTAATAACATCAAGAATTATTATTATTATTATTTGCTCCCATATTTCTGACTAAACAGCTTTTAATAAGTGATCAGTTCGTGATGCACAGGTACAGGTGAGAATCACACTATATCAGACAGCTCCCACAGTGAGTCAGTGTTTTTCCATCTGCTTAAATTCAATTGGTTCTATTCTACCTGACACATCTGAACAAGGGCAGTCCTGAAACTCACAAAATTATACCGGGTTCACACCAATTACACATCTCATTCAGCATTTCAAGCGCTGAAAGCAAATTTAAAACACGTCTTAAACAGAAAATTGAAATAGATTAGTTTAAGAACTGATTAAGAACTCAGCTAAAACCAGAAGACCCAGGGGGTTACCCAGGTCCAGCATTGAGAACCACTTGGGTATTTTTTAATCCAAAGGTCTGAGTGCAAAATAAAAACCCAAATCAGCAAGCAGATCAATTAGTGGCAACAGTTAAAACTGGTGATTAAGGACTCAGTTGGAAATAAACCAGCAGATACAGAGGTCCTCCAATAGCAGGGCTGACAGCAACTGTCCTATTTAAACACACCGAAGGAAGAAAGAGGAAGAAAAAAATATCTTAAAAATCATTACTTGAGGTTTCAGTACTACATAAAAAATAGCACCAGATCTGAGGCCTATTGAGTCATCATAACAAAGAAACTTACTGTATTCAAACAGCATGTGTACCACATGGAAAGGAGCCCAGCATATTGTAAACAGCAAAACAACGGTTATCATCATTTTAACAGCACGTTTCTTCTTCCTACGGCAATCAAAACCAGAGAAAGGTGTCAAAGTTAAACAGGTTCTTCTTGTGGGTGGTATGTCATAAATGTCTGCTTAAGTACTCTGCATCCCAGGTTTTTCCAGATGAGCTGTTTTTTAAATGTGAAATGCTAAACAAAGGGGAACACACATCTGAGTGGAAATCACTGAAAAAAAATCCTGAAATGAATTTCTGTTGTTGACCTGTAGTGAGTGTGTGCCTGTTACTGTAGGTGACAAAAATAAGCAATTGCTTGTAGCTGGTAATTCTGTGCTACACTGCTGAGCTCGTATGTTGGAAAGGCTGGACAGAAGATGAACAGCTCAAACTATCATCTGCACTCAATTGTGCTGAGCTTAGGACCTGTCGCCAACTGTGAAGAGTGTGGGAGTTTGTATTGCTCAACCTAATAAGGTGTCTTAGTGTAACTACTAGTGAAAAGGGCAAAATAATAAAGGACTTACTTGAAAATAAAGTTAAATAAAAATGAGATAAAGTTACAAAGTTTTTTCTCAGCATTTTATGTAATAGTTTCATCAACACATCATCCAACAGCAGTGAATCAGGTCCAGCAGAGCCTCATACCACATAGTGGGGAAAATCAATCTCCCAAGTGATGGAAAACTTGAAGACAGGTGTAACTAATTCTAGAAATGATTGGGCTGTGTTGCTATTGAATACCCCGCCATTCTAGGTTTTTATTTCATATTTTATTTGGCCACTAATTGTATTCCAGAGTAACTTATGTTTGCCATAGTACAACACCATTGTCCCACCCGGGATCAGAACCCCCAGCCTTCCAGTTACAAGTGCAGGGCCTTCACCACAGCTCCCCTTGCGCGGGGTTTGTACCTTGCAATCTTGTTGATTTCGCTGTGGTTCATGGTGTTCAAAACCGAAGAGTCGCCCACCCGCTTCCGCACCCAGAGCTCGAAAGCGATCCTGCTGTAGAGGATGAGCATGGCCGTCAGGGGCAGGATGAAGAGGGCCACCAGGATGAAGGTGGCGTAGACCTGGCGGTGAGCCGAGGAACGCCAGCGCTCCTGGCAGCACACGTGGTGGTGGTCGTACAGGAAGTCGTATTTCACCTGCGCGAGCACAAACACGCGTGCTTTACGAGCACAGCTGCCCGGATTGCAAAGTGCTGCTACAAAGGGCGTGCTTCAAGGGGATAACCCATTAGTGCTTTACAATTTTTTAAAAACAAATGTTAAAGATTTGCACACATGAAAAGTAAAATATTATAACATAAAACAGAGCACATTACAAACAGCTTATTGCTTTTGTTTAATAGCTTATGAAAATTTGTTGGGTAACTTTAGCTTTTTTTCCCAGGGTCGTCAATGTATTGATTTTAATATTTCACAGTTGTGAGAAACATGTTTCTGAAATTGGTCTTGTAAATATCAGAGGACTTATACCCTATATTGTATCATATTACATTTATGAACTGTAACACATAGACAATGGCTGTGGACCTGCGTACAGATAGGTACTCCTAATAAAGGTGTGTTTATTCACCAAAAATTGTGGGACAGTGAGCAAAGTATCTTTAAATGTGAAGAACAGGGAAAATCTCACAGGCTAAAGTTAAAGGCTGTCAGCTGAGAGGTACACAGTGGCTCAGTATTCATATGAGGTCCTAACAACAGATCAAAGTCAAACAATTCTGAATGAGGTACATGTTAATTCTGACATTATTACTCTTAAAAGCCAGAAGTATTCATGTTGTCAATTTATTCTATTCTTTTACTGAGAGAAAAAAAAAGTGTTGCACATCTCAGCAAACCAGGTATGTGTGATAAATGTGACAATAGTGTAAGTTACACAGTAATTATGAAGTACAAACCAAAAGGAGCATGTAATTACTAATGAGATTATAGACTTAATTATAAATTGGACTGATCATACACAAACATGAGGATTGAGTTGTGATTAATTACTTTTTCAGCAAGCCACGTCTTTGTAATCATTATACATTGCGCAGGGCTGTAGCCTTTTCCAGTGCTTTCTGTTAACTTAATCTCAAGAGCATTTCAGAAAAAAATACCTACTTCTTTGAGACAAAGAGATCTGATACAGTGTATGTTTAACAAAGACGTGGAGAGCAAAAGGTCTTTTCTATTGATGATCCTGAGGAAATTAATTTGTTACAAAATTAATGAGTATCATTCTGAATAACGGTGCTATTAAGATCTGTCTCTTCACACAATACATGCTTTCTTTAATTAAAATCTGAAAAATAAATAAATGACAGAGCTGTGTATACATCTTTTGTGAAAAATAACAAAGCATAACAAATAACGGGAAAGACAAATATAAGAAAAGGACACTCAGCTAGAAACTAGAAGCTTTGATGTCTTTCTATCTCATACAGCAACATGTCCATAAGTAAGTAACACAGTAAATTTTTATCATTAAGCTGCAGTTCTGGTATATTGGATCATTTGGAGACACTACAGTATTGCATTTTATTTTAGATATTTAACTACCATATATTCACGTCATACTGTGTGTTCCTTACAAAAAAGGTAAAGCATACTCCCTCTTTGCGGTCACCTATTGATTGATTTGCAAATCGCCAGCACACTCTCTAAAGAGCGATAGCAGTGTGCCGGGACTGAATCACCATTAATTCAATGCTGCATTTGCAGAGAATTATAATTGTGCTGGTCTTAATCTCATCACATTAATTAGTACAGAATTACAGCCATCTGTCTAATTAAGGGAGTGCTCCCTTCCTTCTTTATGTTTTAACTTCTAAAAACACTGGTGAACACAATAACCAAAATGCTAAAGATTAGCTTGTTAAACACAAGCATTACTATCAAAAGCCTTAGAAAGAGTGAAGGTGGAAACATTTGGGATTAACTGACTGATTGTTTATACTTGGAAGTCCAAAACCTTGTTTAGTGTTTAGTTTCTGTTTAGTACAAAGAAAAGGAAAAAAAATAAAGATCCCAAAAACCTTACCTCTAGCTGCTGCACATATAACATCGGGGACCCCACTATCACAGCTACAGTCCATACAGCTCCTGTTGTTTGGAGAAGAAAAGATAACATCCTGAATGTTGTGAGATTGGACAGACATTTCACTTTAAAAGGATTTCACAATGCCATGGTAATTAGTGTTGCTGCCTCCCAGCTCTTGGGCCCTGGAGCTGATTCTGGCTTTGGGGGCCTTCTGTGTGGAGTCTGTATGTTCTTTCTCTCTCACTGAATTGAATTTTCTCCCAGTGCTTCAGTTTCCTCCCACTTCCCACGGACATGCTGAATAGGTTTATTGGTGTCTCTAAACTGCGCTTGTGTGTGTGATTGTGTATGCCCTCTGAGGGATCGGTGTCTTATCCTGTGCTTTGTTCCCCTTTATACCCAGTGCTTCTGAAACACCTTCCAGTTTGCCATGACCTGAATCAAGAATGAATGGCTGGTAACGGCAGTAATGATTTTCTCAGTAAGAGAAGTATCTCCCAGTGTATGGAATTGATCCACTGTGCAGTGACAATATCTTGTGCATGTGACAGGAGTTGTGTCTTTCCCAAAATGTATGTTAATGATATCTCCAAATACCTCCCAAGGAGTTGTGTAAGATGCAAACAGTATTCACTAAAGGGTGCTAACTCTGTCTCATCATAGAGAGGGTTCTGGTAAAAGATGTTTCTATCCAGGAAAACACTATGATTTTGTCGTGAAGTTAAATGCCTATTTCACAAATGGTGGGCGGGGCACGTGCAAATTATAATGAGGTAAACCATAACAGGGTCATATAAGTCAATTGACACAGAATGTGCTTTGAGATGCAGTAAGAGCTGCGAGCAGTTAAAATCATGTTCCCTTTTTCAAATGAATTGTGATCAGGGACACATTCCTCTGTTGTTGTTCTGTGTATGTATTTGTTTAGGGTTTATTATCACGCTTTTTGGACTTCCATTTGAGTGGAGTAAATTAAAATGCAACAAAAGCCATTTGGATGTTCCTGCAAATATGGGAATGTGTGTAAGTGTGAAAACGTGTGTTCTTGCACATTTAACATTTAACAATCCACATGGCACATTCTGTTCGTCCAATCTGAAAGTTGGGCTTTCAGGCATTGTTGTACAGGATCAGAGTAGGTTTAAAGCATTCACAACACATCTATAAACAAGTTACCTCACTATAGAGGGGTGCTGTCAAGGTAGACTCAAAACATCAATACTTCAAGACTAAATGTGCTCTTGCACAACACAGTCACCAAATAAAAATATACCAATATTTAATGACACTTCCTTTTATTAACAAAACATCACAGCTTCCCTCAAACAGTGCAACCAAATACATTTAGTGATGGCACAGCCAGTGTTACAAAAGATATATTAAAAGTTCCAAAGTACTCAGTAAGAAGTATGTGGTAAATCTGAAACTAAATGGGCTGTAAAATGTTCTCTTCTTATATACCTGACATGCTGTACTTCTGTGAAAAGAGAATTTAAGAGCTGCAATAAAATGCCGTCAATCATTCAGATTAACTATCACACATAAACAATTCTAATCCTCAGATCAGTCATTCTCTGAAATATTTCCTGAAAGAAAACCATTTTCCACTTGAGCTTTGTTCACCTGTTTTAACACAAGAGATGTACTGGAAAGGAAACACATACCTAGCATTTTGTAAGCTCTTTTTGGGGTATACTGCCGCTTCATTTTCAGTGGGTAGACAATGCCCTGGTATCTCTCTATAGCAATGCACGTCATTGTCAGAATACCAGTCACTATGGCTGTGCTCTGTACAAAAGGAACAGTCTTGCACACAAAAACACCTAAAAAATGAAACAAAACAAGACAGATAAGCGTTTACCCACATCTTATTCTTCTCTTCAAAGTTGACTTTAAGTAATTAACCAAATCGGCTTAGTGAATTCTGTTAAAAGTCTGGTAAAGAGACAAAACTTCAACTCACACCATCCCTGTGCTGGAAATAAAAGTTTAACCTTCAAAGGAAAAAAAAAAACTGAAGGCACAGACGACTGATAGTAAATTCATTTTTATGCTCTAGTTCATCTAGTGAATAAAAATGAATTTGTTGCTTAGCAGTCTTCTGTGCACTGAGCCTTCCTTACCACCGTGCAAAGGCTAAAAATTTAAAGATGATGAAATGCAGCTTTAGGCAAAAGTGCCGATTAGGGAAGGATAAAAAAATTGTATAAAGCACTTGGTCGTGTGAACAGAAGGATCGGTACATATGTCAAATCAATACAATGTCAATTTTAGAGAATATGAAAGAAATGACAAGAAAGCTTTTTGCTGCAAAGACAACTGTTTTCAAAAATTAAAAGTTTAAGTGCTGGCAATTTTTTAAGGAAAACTGAAATCCCATGGATGCCATTTTACGTCAAGGATTTGCACAATTGAACACTTTGCAAATGAAAAGACAATAATCAGAGACTCCTTTTGTCCATACATTTTGTTTGGTTTTATAGTGATCTAGAGCAAAAAAAAAAACAGTGCGTGATAAAAAATGCTCCAACATGACAACCCACATCTACTCTTTGTTGACCCCCCTGCTGTGGCTTTCATTACAAAACAGTTGCTTCAAGGCTTTGAAGCTGCCAGCAAATTATACAAATTGAGCAATTAATGTAAATCAGAACACATGCCTTGTGATTTGCATCAAGGATCTGCTGTGACTGATAAATCCTGATAAGTACTAAAAGCCTAAATCTTGTTTTAACATAAACAGGTAAGGCCTACCCCACAACAATCACACAATAAATACCACCTCCAAGACAATATCTGTTTCATGCATCTCGGATCATTTAAGGAACACCCTGACATTTAAGGCATTTTGCACAGTGAAGCAATGCTTAGAATAAATCATCTTATACGTCCTCCAAATGGAGTAGTGTATCCCCAGAATGTCTCTAAGAACCTCTTTCCTCCCTCAGACAGGTGCTGAGCCACTGATAAGTATGTGGAATGACAAGTCAGGGAAAAACGATCGGGACACGAAGCATTTCCTGTTATACTTCCAAAATGAAGATGTTTCAAATCATATCACATCTTCTGCGTCCAAGAATATAGCACCTGACAAGTCTATAAAATCATCTGTTTGGTTTCAGCTTCGAGATCAGGCCTGCTCACAGTCAATTTCCTACAGCTCTAGATGTAGTATTTGAAAAACAGTACAAAGATTAAATTCCTTCATGAGCCTTGTGTGGCTTTCCGAAGCTCATCCTGATTTCTTAACCTTAAGCAAATTGAGAGTGCAGGACTGTTCCTGCGCTGGGCTGTGAGTCCATCACAGATTCACCTCCCAGCAGTGCAGGCACTTTTATGTACTGTACACCTGAGGGTACTGGAGCAATCTGGGGAAACGAACCTCATCCACGAAATCAACAACGGTGTCTGTATTAGGAGCTTGAACTCACAGTCTTCTGATAATGAGGTCAAAGACCTAATACAGCTTCCTGCATCCCCCTTCCCATCAGATATACTGTCATTTTCCCTCCGTTTTCAGGGAAAATGTTTTTCTCACTAGATGTAGTTCCTTCATCTAGTGAGATGAGTAGTTCCTCCCTCTCCAGAGAGACAGCTCCACATGCAATCTTAAGATAGTATCACGGTCCTTCAAGGGCATGTGTATAACTCCAATAGATTGATTTGACCTCATTATGGTTATGATTCTAAGTTTGACGTTCACAGTCACAAGTGCTGGAGTATTTCCCATACTGGAATTGCAATTTCTATCTCATGCTGCATTTAAGATGTCAGACAACAGAACACTCTGTAAGCCTTTCACCTTTGTGACTTCCGGCTATTGCTGAAGACAGTTTAAGTTTAGTTCTTTTATTATATTTTCTATTATTTTCTGCCCCTTGTTTATAAATGAGTTAAAACATTGTATTGACATATTTCAACAACTTAATCAATCTGACAGTTCTCATATCGTGAATTGAAAATTAAAATTAATTAAAAACTCATTGGAATGTATTTAACCATAATCAGTGACTAAAATGTGTTGATGAGAGATGAATGTTTTCGAATGAGTCACCATGAGTTACTAAGGAGATCTATTTGTGATTTGTTTACAATGCATACATATCTGTATGTAGCAAAAGGAAGTAGCTCCAAAATTCAGATGCCATCCTTTTGAATTAAAACCACAAAACAAAATCATGTGAGACATGTCATAACAAAATCTGTAATAAATGTGAAAACAGGATGCAGGATTTCTTTAAAAACAAAGGAAGTACACACAAGAAGAAAACACTAATAGAAGAAGTAACCGAAAATTCTGAATCTTAAATTCAGGATGGTAGGCACACATGATAACCATAACTTCAAATAAAAGGTACAGTAACACTTTCTAGCAGAACAGACAACAAGGTACTTTCTAAGTTGTTCTTCATCTCCAGTGGAACTGAAGAATTCGTTTAGACATACACGGCACATTCCTGTCTGCTTAACAATTGAGTTAGCTTCCTTGGTGAGATACAATTCAGCACCTTTCACTCATTACTGCAATTCATCCTCTTGTGGCTTCACAATAGCAAAATCTAGATTTGAAAATAACATCAGTGGATAATGCTAAACATTGAATTCGGGAGATGACAAGAGACCGAAGCTTGCAGCACACACATTATCTACTTTTTTAAGCTTGTGTCACCATGTGGTATTTTATTGTCACCAACAGTGCCATTCCCACCTTCTAGCTCAGAGGATGTCAGCCCTGTCCTGGAGAACATGTGTGTGAGGGGAGTTCTGGGACTCGGAACGTGGTGAAGAGTTCCCACCAATCAGAACTCCTATTCAATTGTTTGAGAGCTTAAAGCAGATTTACAAAATACAGTATGCCTCAAAAAGAAAAATGACATCAATTAGCCTTTGATTAAGACCTCAGCTGGGAAAAAAACAGAAGAATAAGTGGGAACAAACTACTCAGCTATGTTGTTGAAGCTGATATCCTGGTTTCTTTCAAGAAATAGTGGATAAGATCCTTGGATCAAATAACTACTAACTACCACATGGGCAAGATGTGCCTAATAGCCTCCTCTTGTTTGGGACCTTTCTTAATGGTCTTACAGTATATACTTGAGACACTAAGTTTCCCTGTGACCAGGGCTAGGATCCACTGTTCTAAGAGTGTTACAACATCCTGGCCCGATGGTGTCGGATCTCTGAAACTAAGGCTGGGCTTGGTCATTCCTGGGATGGAAGACTGCCAAGGACAACCTGGGCTACTTCTGCTGTAAGTGATGTTGGTGCTCTTTCCTCTTCAGTTTCTTACTTCCCCTAGCTCATCTGCTGTGTAGTGGGGCTGCTGATGCACAATGGCTGAAGCCATTCAATTCCGGTGGGTTACATGAAGCGGGTCTTCTCCTATGCAAAAAGTGCTTCAAGATCCTTCAGGATGAAAGCATTGGTATATTCATGCAAAAAAGATGTTTATTATTTATTTTGCTTAATTAATAACCACATATTTAGAATGTCTTATTTATGTTTAACATAAAGTAACAAATGTCTATTGAATGTGTTATATTGTTTTTGTTCTTTTAATTAAGTGCTTTGAGATACCCTAACATGTTAGGTGCTACATACAATTATTAAAGTATATTCATTGCATTTAAAGTGTTTTTTTTTATTTTTGCTTTATTAACCAGATAGCTACTTACGTTAAAATCACCGTAAACATTATGTAAAAATCTGATGCAGTCTCTTGTGCAGCTCATCCATGCTACTAATGACGGTCCAACAACAGAGAAAAAGTTTTATTGGGACACTTGAGGTTCTTTTTTGCACTTACAAATACATTGTTTCTTAGTCTTTTTGTCAAGGGTCTCAAACCTAAGGAGTCAAACAATTAACCTAATCAGACATACATATAATTTTACTCAAGGTCTTTTACAATTATGAGAAACATTCACTTATAAAAAATGATATGATTACCTGTAAAAAACCTCTGAGTCTGTATAGAAATATAACAATTATGCAGTTAATGAAGCAATTAAACCATCTGTGTATCTGAGCAGTAGATCAAGAACCAGGGATCCCTGGTCATTGTGTTTCCTGAGAATAAGCAGATGCAGTCAATTCAGCAGGGCTGGCCAGGGCTGGCCACCAGCTCTGGTGTTGTGAAGCCAGTCTTCTAAGTAGATGATTCCATAGTAGCCACACACAAAGGCTCATCGGACCAGAGCTCATCCTGGTTTCTAGGTGTGAAGAAATCAAAGAGCGGAGAGAGATCAGACTGCCACCCCAGATGGGACACCAGCTCAGCACGGCGATTATCCCCATTCACACAGCTGGGTGGACTGGAACAACTTGGGTAAATGTACAACATCCACAGTGGGGACTCAAACTCGCAATCCACTAGTTATGTGTCCAAAACTCTTTAACTATGCCACCCTGCCACCACTGTGTTGATGGTTACCGTTAAAATCATAATCTTTATAAAGCCCTGAATACACATGACTTTAGATGAGCTTGGTAAGTTAATTATGTAGGCATGGAAGAAATCACAGCACAGTTCAGTGTAGTTTTGATATGTTTAGTACAGAGGCCCCTGGAGAGTTGAGTAGAAAGATACCATCACACTCTAATTACTCAAATCTAAATGCACAGACATTTCTGAGAGCCTATACAGTAGCTGTAAAACAAACAACTCTTTGTGTCAGCATATAAAGACTAGAATGTGTGTGAACAAGAAAAACTATACCGTATATTTGAAACAAGTATTTACTGACACTAGCACTAACATTTAAACTCTACTATGCATGCTCACAAACATCACACATTCTTCTGGGCTTACCAGGATAAATAAAAACCCCAAGTTCCAACAGGTGGTCTGCCTTTCAAACATGAAGCAAAAAGGAATGAAGTCAAATTGAATTCTACAATTGGTTCATTTCACCTAGAAACGACTGAGTGTTGTCCTTGAGGACTACATGGTTTGGGCAGTATCATTTTAAATCATCTCTAAACTTAGTTGAACAAATCACCTGCTCAGTGGTCAAAATGAAATTGTCCCAGGGGCTTAGAAAAAGATACGTTAAGGGTGGCTCTAAAAACGACTGTTCAGGTGGTGGGTCTCTATGGCCAGGGTAAGACATCCCTCTTATGCAGGCTCTGTCTTTCTTGAAGGTGGTCTTCAATATGACAAAAATTATGTGGTTGTGAAAGAACAATTTAACAATTTAATTTAACAATTTATCTCACTTGAAGTTCTGAGTTATTTTGTCCTTGTGAATAAATGGCTGAAAGCTTTTTGCTGCAGGTGTATAGAGAAAAATGTACCTTTTTTTTTACTTACGAAGCACAGGGCTGCAGCACAGCAACACTCTCCTATATGGTTTGTACTCATTCTGCTAGTAGGAGGCTATTCAAATGGTTCTTGCTTGAATATTTAGGTATCAAAGCAAAAACTGGTGTTAACAGAAGCATCATTGTCAGGCTTAAATCTCTACATTGGTTGCCTATAAAGTCACATATTCAAACTAAGGCCTTATTACTGACTTTTCAGGTTTTAAACAATCTGACCCCATCATAAATCTCTGATCTCCATCATATTTACACTAAACTCCTTCCCACCACTTTTGCTGACTGTGTCTTTTCTGTTGTTGCTCCATTGATGCCCTTCCTCCAACACTTCTCCAACTTAATAAATAAAAGTTGTTGTTGTTGTTGTTGTTGTTGTTGTTGTTATTATAATTAACATTATTAGTATTATACAATCACGTATGGACCTGTAGGTAAGATAGGCTTTATCACAAGGAAAAAAATTAAATGCAGCAAGGATCACAGATCACTTAAATTGCTTTTTAAAGTTAAAAGAGAAAGTCTTCAGATAACCTTTATACAATTAGAATGCCCAATACCTCAAGGTGAATTTTGGAAATATGTCTGGAGAGTTAATAGTTCCACATTACACACAAACCTGTGCATAAAGTGGTTTATCACAGCTACAAATTGCAAGACTACAAAGACATACAAATCTCATAAGAACCCCGACATTTATTTCTAAGCACAGTCATTTACTGTAGGCAGAAATCAAAAGCTACACAATATAGTTTAAAATCCAACTGCTATAAATGTACAACCACTACTAATGACTGAATGTACTCAAGACACACTACCTAAAACATTCCTTCACAAAACACTGACACATCTGGAAGAATTTTCTGTTGCTGTTGTTGTATTTGAAGGCAAGGTACTGGAATGGATCAAACTGAAATGTGAAGGTATGTTTCTTCTGCCCCAATTAAATCCCCTTGATGAGCTGCACATTACCACATATCACTGCACTAGACAATTTAGTTCAGAGCTCAGCTTTGATACATTTTACACTTTGGTAAGTAATTAAAATCACAGTATAACAGTTCATAAGGCTAGAAACATTCTGTGATGAGACTTTCTATTAATGCAAATTAAGATAACAAAGTATATAATCCAATTCAGATTGCAGAATTACCAATTAAGACAAATAGGCTTACTGCACTGTCATTCTTAATGACATTTTATTAATGTACAAAAATAGAAACAAATCCAGAGTACTGTATATTCTTTCTTTTCTTCTATCCAAAAAGGATTTTTGATAAATTGTTACTTGGTGTCTATCAATTCTCCTGTGTAACAATGCATTTGTTTGAAAAATCCAATTTCACACCATGTACTTACATTCATGTCATATCAGAAAATCATTATACATTCCTTGAAATTGAAACAACTGTTTTAAACATGCATCTGAGCTTCTTCGGTTATATAATGAAAACAGGTCTATTATTTGCAGGTAGAAGAAGAGCAGTGAACACACATTGTTTCCAGGCCATTGTTGTGTCACCACTGTGTTTTGAGACTTGAAGTTGTTTAATTTGACTGTAGAACAAGATAAAGCTTTACCCATTCACTTACAAATTAAATACAAAGTATGAAAAGAGCTTCTGAGTTCTATCTGAGTACTAACAGAGCAGAAAGCTGTAGTATTACTGGAATCAACTCATCTAAAGGTGTTACTAAGCAATACAAGTGGATTAAGTAGTTGGTATTTACAAATACACAATCATGTCAACTCTGTGGGCATGGCTAAATTAGCCAGCAAAGTTGGACATTTCTAGAATGACTTGAGGAGCCTCTTTCTTTTTTCCCTAAATCAGGGTTCTCAAACTCAGTTCCTAGGTTGACTGGTATTTGTTGGGTTTTGTTCCAACCTCAGCAGTCACACTCAGAAGCCTGATTATTTTCTTAATTTGATGTACATGTATTTGGGATTTTGTTTAAAGTCATTTGAACAAATGTCAGCTGACTACTCACAACTCATTAATGTGAGAACTGTAGCTTAAGCTTCAGATTTATAAAACAAATTGGAGCTTGGTTAAAAGTATTGAACATTTGTTACAGTTAAATAATTAGATTAAATAACAAGACAGTAATGGAACTTAAAAAAGACAACAGGTCCTCCAGGAATTGAGTTTAAGACCCCTTCCTAAATGGAAACCTGTTAAACTCAGAGAGGTCAGGGGGAATCAACATAGTTTCCATAGGTCAAATGATGTGAATTTACCTGTAAAAATTGATCATAATATTAAAGATTGCCATGGAATCAGACAAGCAACTAGTCATTTCTGACAAACCTTCACGAAGTATGCTAACAGGAATTTTATAACGCAGTTAATAGCCCTAAGACCAGATCATCAACTGTAGGGAAGCAGAGGGAAAACTACTGTATATCTGCAGTGCTGCCGCGCACAATCTTCGTCGTTCTTTCTGATTTCTGAAGAGAAATCGCATTTTAAGCAAAATAAAATTACAAAATAAAGGAACTGAGCCGCACATTTTTTTTGTAAAAATAATTTTAGCTGAACAATTCACTTGTAGTTAAATTGTAGTATGGAATGTAGTTACATGCACATTTCCCTCTTTGGAATCCACATATTCATTGAATTTAATAGACATTTATTAAATACGACCAATCCTTCTTGCCCCTTAAAACCATGCTGTATCGCGTCTTAATAGCGCCAATATGAAAGCGATATTCAAGTTCTGATTTTGGGGGTTTAGAACAGTTTTTTCATGTGCTGATGTTAATGATTATCCAAAATCATGAACATTTGTCTTTAGAACAACAAAAGCAACACATCCAGAAAAAAAACAGTAAAATGTATAACAACTTTTTTTTTTCCCCCACCACGAGTGTCCGAGAAGCAAGACATCCTAACAAACTTACCTCCCAGCCACTCGGAGGAAATGTTCTGCAGCAGAGTGAATGGGATGCAGAAGAAAGTTATAAGGAGGTCGCTCACAGCCAAAGAACAGATGAAAATACTGGTAGCGGTCCGCATTGCTCGCTTTTTCACGATAATGTACACCACCAGGCTGTTTCCCACAAGCGCCAACACGAATATGATGGCATACATAACCACAAAAGTTGTTTTAGCACCGGAGGGCAGTTCGGGAATGTAAACAAGAGGTTGCAGATTATAGGTTTGGATGAAATCTTGTCTTGTTAGGTTATAAAATTGAAGCAGCTGCTTCAAGGCATCGGGAGTTATTTTCCTCATTTCGCTCGAGTCTGTCATCTTGTTCCTTAAACCTGGCGAAGTGCTGCGGTACGTGGAATACGACTATTTAAACTGGAGGGAAAAGGCTTTGGGAACAAAAAAAGGAACTTTATTTAGAAGCGCTGTAATATCAGTATGTGGACTACAGAAGTAAAGTTGCGCGGTCGCTGGGTCTCCTGTGGCAGACTGCTGGAGACGTCCGTCATTCTACCGCAAAAGCGCCTCTCCAGCCGGCTGGTTGGCTGTGACATACCTGTTCTTGCTTTGATCAACCCGGAACAAACCGCAGCAGCCTTTTTTTTTAAAGAGATCGATGAGTCTGTAATTTTCTGACAGGTTCGCCGCTAATAAAGACTGTCAGTCATGCACGCCCTGCCATACACAATTTACAGACGGAACAGGCTACAAGCGATCTTAGCTACAGTGTCTCTTTTGGGGGAACGGCTCTTATCATAATGGGGAGGAGGAATGATTTGGAAAGATGCGCTACGGATTGTTGGCAAATTGTTCCTTCTCAGTCTGACCATTGATAGGGGGAGAAGGTAAAATGTCTTGGAACTCATACTGTAGTTATATAACAGTGATTAGGAAGTTCCCCTATCATAAATGTCCCGGCGGTTATCATTTCAATGCTATCCAGGTGGATGCTGCACATTGGTGGTGGTGGAGGGGATCCCTATTACCTGTAAAGCGCTTTGAGTGGAGTGTCCAGAAAAGCGCTATATAAGTGTAAGCAATTATTATTATTATTATTATTATTATTATTCAATAAAACCAGCTTTTTAGTCAAATTAATGTAAATTCATACTTTGCTGTGTGTAAGGTTACTGCATCATTCACTAACACCCCCGTCTTTAAAACAGCCTTAGTCGTTTCGATACCTTACCTAGAATTTGGAGTTTGAAAAAAAAAAACATCTACACACTGGCGTTTCTCAAGACTCAGGTGAAACGCACGTGTTTAAGATCAACTTGATTACGAACTAATAATTAAACTCAAGGTGATCAAGCTTTAAAAACAGTAGCTTCGGGTGTCCCTGCTTCTTGTTACTGCTGTTTTTTATTCAGTTTTATTTTTTTTTTCAAGGGCTGTAAAAAAACTCTTTAACAGGCGTAGCAATACCTTGTCGTAATATTAGCAGTCTGTTTTAATAATGTACCATTTCTTCCAAGGGATTCTCTTGTTCTCAGGTTGGCAGTATTATAATTCTATTGAAAGGTCTGTGGCTCAAAGGTGGCACTTTGTTTGGAAGTAGTAAGCCTACAATTAAATTTGAGGGTGTTCTTTAAATTAAAGCTCATCTTTATCTGGGACTTACCGTTTTACTTTAAGTGCTGCCTTTCAGGTCAATGAGGAATGGAGCTTTTAATTGAATGTCGAAAGCTTCCAAATATCTATCAATCTTTCATTTCCCATCTGAACAGCGGCTGCTACCTCTTTTGGAACAAGTGCTACAGAGGGTGATGGGTTGCCGGCTTCTGAAGGTGAGGTATTTTATGTAACAGTTGAGGAGGTATGATGACCATTCCTCATGCACTTAAGCAGGTACATGTACAGTAAGTCGCTAGTGGCCATGCCCTGTGTAGCTTGTGCTTTTTCTGGCGTTTGTAGGTGGCTGAGTACTGTATATCTAGAACAGAAAAGTGTATATGGTGAAAAGGTACTGTATTAACCTGCTAAGATTTACTGGCAAAAATTCAAATTGAGTTAGCAGCTGTTGTCATAAGTGGCTTTTCATGAAAAAAAATGGATGAGAGTCTTAAATCACTTGATTAGAAACCTAACTATATGGGTTTTTGAAGTATTTAATTAATATGATTAAGGAAGGTTTGCCAAGAATCTTAAGGAGCATAATTTTATGGTCCGTATCCTAAATTAGATCTGAAAAAGTCTCTTATCTCAATATTCAGGTGGGTTATGAACAGGTCATTATCAATGCACAACTGGACTAGTCAGCCTGTGGCTTTGCTCCACTGCAGAATTTTGTTAGTCTTTACATTGATTAATAACAAATTGGATCAAAATTACCATTACCTTAAGTACTGTTCTTGATAAGAGGAGACTAATGGGCCATAGTACCTGATTTAGTCAGTAGCTATTAGAGCCAAGCATCACCTAATCTTGCTTCTTTCAAGACTGGTGGCTCAGGGTGTCACAGTACATTATGTTGGGTAGCCCCAGTGTGCAGCCTTTGTTCCAAGCTTATTCTTGTGGTCTTGTCTTCTAGCGCAAAGCAACTCCACGAAGATGCAGAAGAGCCTCTTTACCGACTGCCCAGAATCCTACACTGCTTTTTGCCACGAAGGGTCATGTAGATATTTAGTCTCTGAATCAACTGCGTCTTGCATGTAAGCTACTGTATGCGCCCAGTTCCCTGTTTTCTAGCCATTGCTCTGTACGTGCATGAACTTTTTACATGGGGGTTTCCTGCTCTGGGAAGGGGGGGGAGAGAGACACTGAACAGTGACTAGTGGCTTTGTAATTCATTGCATTTATGGTTAAATCTGAAAGTTTCCTCCTAGGGTGGTCTACATCTTATCCTGTGAAGTTTGACTTTAGAGCTCTGAACTTGTATCATTCTCAAAGTCCTCCGGAGAATGGCTTAACTAGTGTCTGTAACACCTTGTATTAATCTAAATGAATTTGCAATGTTTTTCCTCTCAAGCTGCCCTGGTGGTTTTGATGGGGACCAGTGCCAATATGTCAACCTCCTGTCTGTGTTGTCTGTGGATGTGGACTTCCTTCCCCATGCGGTGGCAATACTTCTTTTTGTGGCTGTGGTTTTGATCCTTGCCTCATGTCTTGCTGTATAGTAAGTTCTGCTGATCAGTTTAAAAATCCTTTAACCCCCTTTATGATTTGATATTTGGAGTAAGTGTTCATATCCCAGGCCATTATTCATTAAATTCTGTAATCGGTTACTGCTACTGAATCTTCCCTTGTTCCTGTTTGAAGCCCAGATAGTTGACTCTTTCTGCTGGTGCTATTTTAAAGTCTGAATAGACCACAAAGGGTTTAAGTAAAAATCGGTTTGAGCCACTCTTGAATGTCATCTATCGGTATATAAACCTGGAATCCCTAGTTCTGGTCCTGGAGGGCTGGTGACAGGTTTTCAGTCCAGCTGGGTTTTTAAACAAGTTTAATTGAATCTGTTTAAATGGCATAAGGGCTTTCAAGAGACCTGGAAAATGTGTGCACCAAATGCATACAGGACCAGGAATAGGAACGCCTATTCCAGGAACTTTTCCCAGCTCACCAGTGTTTCTTGCTTTTTCCCCAAACAGCATCTGCAGAAGGAGCATGCAGTCCAAGACTGAGACTGAAATCAAGTGTCATATGCTGGATCATACTCAAGGTAACAGCTAATGTTTTAATGCCCCCTTCTCTCCATTTTTCATTAAATGACTAGTACCACCTGGAATTAAAATCTTTAAGCCGAGCCCCTGCAGACTGGAGCCTTTATTTAATCACGCAAGCCCTTCATTTATGAGCCAGAAAGAAGATGTATAGAAATGTTATTGGGTATCTTTGTTTTTTTTTTTTCTTTGAGTAATTCGTTTTTACCATCTTAGTGAAAGCTAATTGTTGATGACATTTTAACTTTTTTTTTCCACCCCTGCAGTTTAAAAATGGATGCATCTAAAGACTGGCAACTGCATGTAAAAAAAAAACACTGGTTAACTTTTTTGGGGTATTCTGGAATTTGTGAATGGAGTTGAAGCTTTGTCCAATTTGCAGAACCTGAACATGCTGAAGCTGGACCCCAGTAGCCAAGTTTTCATTTGCTGTATGAGATTGTAGTGTTGTGGTGCAAAAGGTGAATGAATTGAAAGCACATGTTCATGTTATTCTTTGGGTGGAATGTTTTCAATGTTGTACTGTTGAATTTTATGTTCATTTTAAATAAACTTTGTATGATACCACTGCTTTTTAAAATGAGTGCTACCTCAGACTCATGAATTAAGGACAGCCCTCCTCCCAAAAAGAGAACTGGATTCAGTTTGCAGATTTTTGGATCTTTTAACCTGGCCTTCTGCTCAGGTAAAGATAAGTGCTGCCTTGGATTCTAGAGCAGTTCTTAACCCTGATCTAGGAATATGAAGATGTCTGTTGGTTTATGTTCCAGCTGGGTTGGGAAATCAGTGGCGCCAATTGCTCTGAATATTGACTTGGTTGCCCGTTAACCTATTTCTATGCAAGGACTGTTTTTAAAATGGTTTTGGCTCTTAAAAAGATGAAGGATACTTGTTATTGGCATGAACCCTGTGCTAATTGGAGTTTCTGGACTGCCCTCACTTGGGTGTGTGAGCTAAAATGTACTGTAAGAATATAAAATTGGGCTTAAGAGACTTTAGGAGTTGGCTGATTAGTGTCAGTCAGCTGTCTGGTAATCAATTGATCACTTAAGAGGCCTTTAGGAGTAAGGAGGGGACTTGGCAAGTAAAGTTGTGCGATCAGATAGTGGAAATAATGTATTTAATGAAATAAGGACTGAATATAGAGAAGTCTAAACCAACAAGCTGATACGTTACAGGCAACAAGCACTGTAGATTAAGGACCCTCTTGGCAAGGGGGAAAGTAGCTGAGACTGGAAAAATCAAGGTTTAAAAAGGTCTCTTTAGTCTCGAGACAGATCCTGCTTATTAAAAGAGGAAAAGCCTCCTCAAAATATTTATTGGCTAGTATTCATGAAGGCTTTTGGTATTTGCGTACTGTAAATGTCTACATGAGGTGACTTTTTCCCACATGTGGCATCTGTTGAAATATGGGATGTGAATTAAGTTTACTAAAGAATTTTGTATTTCAAGTATCTAATTTAAGGTTTTTAATTTTGACACTTGGTGACTGCTGTCTATGTACTTATCATTTATTGTATGAATAAGAGTGGTAGCAGTCTCCTCTAGAATTAATGAGGCTGGTTATCTTAAATGTTAGTCCATTTCCTTTTGAATAATTGGTATGTGATGCAGCCAGTTTGAACTTGAAAAGCAGGGTTACTGTTAGGGTAAAATTCTAGATGTTTCATGAAGGTTCATCAGTTTCTGCTTTCACTGCTCAAAACTTTAATCAGATGGGGAATTTCAGCAATCCAATTTTGCTTGTCACCATCCTGTGTTGGATGAGCAGATGTACAGTAATGTGTTTTTCAGGGTCATTGCTCAGTGAAGATAAAAATTGAATGCCTGGAGGAAAGGCCAAGAGGTCTGTTTTTTTTTTTTTTTTTTGCAAGATTCCCTGTAGGCTCATTCCTTTTTTTCTTTTAAACTGTAACCTTTAGGAACTCTCCAAGGGTTCCTAAAATGCTTTAATGTTCATTTACAAGTCCAATGTATACAGATAACTTCTGCTTTATGCTGTTGCTTGTAACTGAGGCCTTCATAACTCATTACTGCCAGAGAACAGCAACTGGAAGTCCTGAAATGGAACATCCTACGCTCGGAGGCTAAAAACTGAATCTTCTTTGTCTTGAACAGACAAGAGTCCAAGAGACTTACAATAATACTAGTATTTACCAAGGGGTGTAGGATAATGGCAAAAGCTATACAGGTATTCAGTTGAATTTGATACCTTGCTTTCTTTTAAGAAACAGCTGAATGAGATACTTGGATCATTTCACTGTTAAATCACAAATGGGCAAGATGGGCTGAATTGCTGCCTTTTAAATTTATATTCTAAAAGTCAGTGTGTATAATGCATGATCAAATGCCCTTTTTAAGAAAGACAGCATGCATATTTTTTAATTTAAAATTCTAGACATTCTGAAGATCATATCATACTGCATCTTGGTTGTTGATAGACGCTCCCTGTCAAGTTATATTGGAAATAAAGATAAAAGGTAGCCTATACACTGCAGACAAAAACACGAATGCTGTTTCTTGGTTTATTTGAGCAATAGCACTCAATTTGGTGGGGAGACAAGCAATATATTACACTTCAGTTCACAGGAATCTTCTTCTGAAATGGTTTTAATGAAGGTTCCATGTTTCTTTTTTTTTAAAAGAACATTTTGATTTTGGTTCAGTAGAGATGCATAAATCTTAATGTAGTGGAATGTGTCCTCCGTTTCTGCTGTATCATGACTTGGGCTTAAGAGTACATCTTACTAAAACTATATAGTTTTTTTTTTTCCCCTCTAGAAAGTAGCCATGTTTACAAATCTGGTTTCAAAAACCAACCTTTTCATGATCTTTAATTATGGCAGACTTGAACCACTACAGAAAGTTTACCTTATTGAGACCTGGACTGCAGCACTAATAGTAATAGCTTTGTTACCATTTCTTGGCTGGGCTCTGAATGTCCTGTTGGCTTCGTGTTGCATTCTACCCTGGAAATGTTCTTACAGCATGTGCTCGACCTTCCTCTTCATTTTGAGCAGTGGCTTTGCTGCAATGAACTTGGAACTGGAAAACCTTGTTCATGTATGGGGGTTTGTGAGTACAAAAGTACACTACATTTCATTATGTGTGCGTTGTGCAACTGTTTCTTGCTTGGTCGGGGAAAAAAAAGGTCCACGAAGCAAAGGTATATTTTTTTTTAGGAAATGTCTCTACGTGCATGTCCCTTAGGTGGCGCTGTGGTTAGCATTACTGCTGTGCAGCAGTGAGGCCCTGATCTCAGTTCACACACAGAGCCCCAGGTTGGGGAGGTTTTTTCTCCCTGTGATCAGGTGGGATTCCTCCAGCCCAAAAACATAGTGGTAGGCTGATTGGCTTCTGGGAAAATTGGCCCTTGCAGCAAGTGTCTTCCCTGCCATGGATTGGTGTCCCAAGCTGGTGTCCCCTGTCTAGAGTCCATTGCTTGCCAGCAGCCTTATCACCCTGCAACTCGCAACTGGGTAGCCCACTAAAGCTAAACAAGTGAGCCTAGCCAGTACCTGGATGGGAGACCTGGGGGAAAAAACTAAGGTTGCTGCTGGAGATGCATTAGAGAGGCCAGTAGGTGCTCACCCTGCAGTCTGTGTCCTAATGTCCCAATATAATGATGGGGACACTATACTGTTAAAAAGTGCCCTCCTTTAGATTAGGCCTAAAACCAAGATCCAGACTCTGTGGTCATTAAAAATCCCAGGGTGTTTCTTGAAAAGAGTTAGGGGTGTTACCCTGGTGTCCCGGCCAAATTTCCCAACACCAATCACAGACTCCTAATAATCCCCATCTATTAACTGGCTTCATCACTCTGTTCTCCTCCCCACTGATAGCTGGAGTGTGGTGAGCAGGCTGGTGCATCTATGGCTGCTGTCTCATCATTCATGTGGGGCTGTACATTGGTGGTGATGGAGGGGAGTCCTACCTGTAAAGCACTGAGTGAAGTGTCCAGAAAAGTGCTCTGTACAGTATGTGTAAGAAATTATAATTATTTCAGGCTTCCCTGTGATGCTGAATTGGAAGAAGCTGTTATGAAATGGATGGATGTCCCTCTGTCTCATGCCATTCATTAACAGGTTAATTGGATGGTCCTGGAATTAGGTTTCAAAATGTGTTGCATTCTAGAAAATTATTCACCGCCTTCAAGGACAGGACAGGAAATGCCATTATCCTTATCTTTAGGGGAAGAAAAATGGGTTTCTTTCCATTGCTTTACTTCAGTATGGTCAGACAATTTCCATCTGCATCATACAACCTTGCATTCTGTGTAGTGCATATGTCTTTTAGACAAAGCTTCAAAATGTCTGTATCATTCTGATCATTACGCTCAGAATGTTATCTGAGGCTGTATAGTTTGGAATAGGTCCAGGGAAATAAAATGAAAGTTCTGTTATGTTTAAATGTGCAGTAATGATGAAATATTGCTTCAATTGAACAGGCTTCTTCAAATTTCCAGTTTTCTTGTTCACCACAGTTTCTCCTTCAAATACATCCTTCTCAGTGGGAGGTTTGTGGGAGGATGGTGAAAGGCAGTCAAAACAACAGGATATCCTCTCCAGGAAGAAGTTCCAAGACTGGGCATTGCAGCTTCATCTGCATTCATGTTTCAGCAGTCATACACTACGTGGGTAAGGGAGTTAGTATGATGTGTCTGAGGAACAAACATAAATAATTCATCAAATGGACTGAAATGAATTGTGCAGAAGCATGTTTTTTGTCAGCATGATGTATCACTTACTTTAGTGTAAACAACATGGAGGATCAGGCGGTTAAGAACACATAAAAAAAAGCGGCCATTACCACGTCCATTGGGGGAAAAACAAAGCAAAAATTCCTCAGCAGTTTTTATATACAATACATCTCCTTTGTTGTGATAGTAAGTTTCATGTTCTTGTTCTATAGGGTGCAAGTTTTACTCTAAGGTCTAGCATTTACTACATAATATAACTTTATTAACCTTGTAATGTAGTCTATATTTTGAAGTGCTTTCAAGCATCGACATTTTACGTATTGTATTATTAGGACTTTCCTATTTTTATTTATTTGTCAAGTATAAATTGACATTTCTGTTGCTTTACTGTGTTTTCCTTTACAACTGAAAGTATTTCTCTAAATTTTAATATTTTATTTTTATGCTTGGTTTGTAAAGCATGTTGAGCTGCTATTTGAATGAAAGATCCTCTTTAAATAAAATGTATTATTTTATTATTATTGCGTGTCATAGGTACACAATGTCCATTGTAATTTCTAAATTTTTGTTTTAAAGAAAAATGCACTTATTTTTGAGATGCAAAGTCCTTTAAGCGTTTTGGGGTCTTAGAATGGTTTTCACAGCATAACATAGGCAACAGTGAAGAATATAATTCAAATGTCAAACTGCAATTCTACTCGCATTGTGAGTAAATTTAATTAATGTTTTAAGTGTATGGTGCCCAACCAGTCCATTGTATCCATATTTTCTGTATGTGTTGAGAGTTAGTTTCCTAGCAACTCTGCAAACAGTGCCAGCAGAGGACTGAGGATTACTGAGTGCTGTGTGGACCTCGGTAGAGTTGAGAGAGGCCTGCGTTACTGAAAAGATCAACGGTAAGGTCCTTTTAATATACCAGTTGTAAGTTGGTACCTTTAACTGTACAAATTGGAATGATTTCAAGAAGCAGAGTTTAGTTTTAAAGTTTTCCATACATTGGTACATTTGTTACAAGTGTTTACATTAATTCTTTCTGCATGAGTTGTTGGCATTACATTACAAAAAAGCAAATAAATATGCCCAGTTTTAAGGAAGAATTTTACTTATTTTGCATTCCGTGATCTAAAATGTTTTAAGTATTTATTTCTATCTGATATTGGAGACAAATTCTTTTTGGGGAATTTTTTAGAACTTTGTTTCATACTCCTTTTGGGAATTGAACAAACATTTGCATTTCTTTAGGGCCTGTGCTTTGCTGTGATTTGGGGGGAAAAAATGGCAGCAGAAGAAAGTAATGACTCCAAAATGGATAAAAAAACTGAGTAAGTACAGATTGACAGTAGTAGTAGTAGTCGTCACACATACAATGTGCAGTTCATAAAAGGTTAAGATGGATCTAATGTACAGTCTGTAAAATTGAGCAGTATTATCTGGATTAAGAAGTTATTCTCCCAGGTGTCCCCATTACTGGAATAAAAGTACCACTATAGACCTGACAACTGAAGGCAACAAGTGATTCAAAATAATCTTTTCCATACAGATACTGATTATTACAAGAAAAAATAGACAAGATATGTAGACAATAGAACTAATTCCTAAAATTATTTCACATCACAAAATTCTCTTTTTTAAAACATAAAAGGAGTGTATGTAGTCTTGGCACAACAGTATTTTAAGCAGCTTTACTATTATGGTCTGTGGTAAAAGGAAACGTGTAAAATTACCATTGTCAATTTAAAGTCTTAAAGAAAAGGCCATTCTGTCAAATTCCACAGCACTGATAGGAGATAAAAATAAAGTTCTGTATTTAATATAGAAAGTTAATCAAAATGATTTATTTTCCCCGGTCTTCCTTTACCTATTTTGACAACACCAGCAAAAAGAAAAGTAAAAGACTGAATCAGGCTACCTCATCAAAAAACTTTGGTTTTTTTTCAGTCCATATTTTTAAAAGAAAGTGAATACAACTATTAATTGAATGCAACTGTATCTGTCATTATTTCCATGTGCTGATTGAGAGACCAGTTGTTTCTTTATTCAGTGCCATGGTAACAGAGCAAAGGAATCATCATTACCCACAATCCAGTGAGAAGAAATGACTGGTTCAGCCTCATTCATGCTGCTAAATATTGTCTTCCAGGGCCATGGAGTTGTCAGTAAGGCAACGAATGGGGACACTGGGGGATCCTGTGTCTGGCACTTTTAACCGTAAGGTTGCTCTTGGGAACATGAAAAAAGCAGAAGAAGTGTCTTTTAACAATCCTCTGAGACTGACTGGGGCTTCGAAAGGACCAGCCAAAGGCAGTCCACGCTTTGGGATGCTGAGTCACCATTCCTTCTTTTCCAGACACAACCCACATCCCAACAGAGTAACACACATTCAAGGTGAGCCAAAGAAATACAGCACGGTGAGAATGACACCTCTTCCATGGCCCTTTTTTAAGGGATTTCGGGGTTGTCTCTTTCCTTTCAGGATAGCTATAGCTTAAAATCGGAATCAAATAAGAATTAAATGAATATTAACTTAAGAGTCATTCTTGTCTTTATGTGCAGATAAAAGAAGAAGAAATCCACCACAGATGTACAGAATTCCTCTTGGTGCAAATCTTTTAATGACTGCTTAAAATATTTATACACTCACCAGCTTGTGTGTGAGAAAAGTATAAATATCTTCAGCTCATCTTTCCTTTGGCCTTATACAAAACTGACATTGATTTGAGCTTTGTTTGAAAGTTACAAGGGGGGAAAAGAGCCTTATCAGTTTAAATAAGCTTCTTCCTCTCTCAAGGCTTAATCTCTTGTCCAGACTTGTTACCACTGGAGCTTCAAAGGGCTTTGCTCTTGCTGAGCACATAACTGTAAGTGTTAATAGAATGAGATACTGTATTGCTTTTGATACGATTACCTCTGCAGGTCATTTCACAAAGTATTTAAATAACCTTTATTTGCCTCCTCCATTTGGCCCATCTAGCCTGTTTGGTGGTTAGTAGTTAGTTGATCCCAGGATCTCATCCAGTGAAAGAAACCAGAGTAATGGCTTCAACCTCATGGTTTGGTAGCTTGTTCCATACTCCCATAATGCTTAAATCTACAGAACCTCTGTGTTTTTGTGTTCATCTAGCACATTCATTGGTTAAGACAGCTTCACTGCTCTGACCACTCGACATCCTGTTCCATACAAGGAAGATGGTGAATAGCTTTACTGACCCAAGTATTTCAAATCCTCCAAGTCAGTCAAGTGGATTTACTTGTCATGAACAGTGAAACCAGAGGATTATACAAATCAACTGCTGTATATGAAAGAGCATTTAAAACCAAGAACAGAAGGCACTTTTTTTTTACCCAAGGAGTTGTGGGAGTCCGGAGCAAGCTATCTTTCAAGAAACAGCTGGATGCAATCATGGGATCAGTTAGCTAGTATCTCCAAATGGGCTCGAAGCAGTGCCGCATTTCCCATTATGCACTATAGGCACAGTACCTAGGGCCTACGAAGGAGGGAAACACTAGTGACTAGTGACTAACGAAAAACGAGCTGAAACAACATGCTTGCGATCGACTGTAGGTGTTCCAAATCAATAATCAAACGCTATCTAGCGGCTCTTCTAGAAAGTAGAAGAAATGAAGTGATGGTCGCTCAACTTGCTCCATCAATCACGTGGTTTAGCATTGGAATAGTTTAAAGTGCATCATGTCAAGCAATGTAATTCAATTGGCATTTACCCCTCTTTTTGCACATTTCAGAGTGTACTGTAAGTGCCTAGGGCCTAGGAACATCAAAATCTGAGCCTGGCTAGAAGGGCCAAGTAACCTGGTTTGGAAAAAACTTTTCTTTTGTTCTGCATGGCTCTAGTTATTTCAGACTCCTGCTGCCATTTTATACCTTTGAAATTGGACTCAGTGCTTCAGTCTAAAAACAAAGCCAAAATTGTGCAAAGCCAAGTCATCTGCATGAGTCATTAATTGTAGATAATTCTGCCAGAAATGAGTATAATAATTTGGTTTATAGCCACCAGCTCTGATGCTACCCAGTCAGTAAAACTTGGATGTGATTTCTAGTGTTTTGATTTTCAGATGTTTAGTGGTGCACAGTAGCCTAAGACTCTTTGTCTTTGGGTGATAAATGAATAACACCTCTTTTATTCTGAGCAAGTATTCGAACAGGTAAAATAAGTTTCTCATTCTTGTTACAGTTTTAGATTTTGTTCTAGTTTTAAAATGAGTACCTGTCTAAAGTGTTTTGGTTTTATCTTATCCAGTAAATATAAAGGGCTCTCCAAGTGCACATAAAGATTTCTTATTTCTTGGGAGCCAAACATAATGTGAATTCAGCCTGACTGACTTGCAAAAGCTGCTACAAAGGAGTGGCTGTCTTTTATGCTTCAGTGGTTCCAAATGAGTCACCAGAATAATACAGTTAATCTGTGCAATTAAAATCACAAAACAATATTCCAGTCGGTGCTGAAATGTTAAGAGTTCTACACATTTTTATTTTTAAAAAGAATGTGCTTGCTTCTGAAATCTGTTTGACAATGTGGTTCCTGCAATGTGCGGAAGGTATTAACCAGTAATGAAGTGGTGTCATTCAGCTGAGGTGACAAACGGGAACCTTCTTTAGGACAGCACTCCATTACTGCTTGTGTGAACTTTGCAGAGTGGAGTTAACAAAGTCCACAAATAAAGTAGAATGATTCCAGCGTAGTGTCTTCCTGTCCGTTATTATTTTCCACAGTTTTCAGATGGCCTTGAGGTTTTATGAAAGTGACACTAATTGATCTATTGATTGACAGCAGGACTGGTCACATAATCTGGAAATGATCTATTTGCTATTTTATATTCACACTTGTTTAAAATAAATAGCCAATACTGTCTTCATTCAGGAGTCGGTGCCCAGAGGTGATTTAGTATCTCATCACAGTTTTAGTGGTTTGCTTGCTATTCCTGACAAAATGAAAATGATATAGAGTCTGAAGTAAAGTCCAATGTGGGCTCCTGAGTTTACAGGTTCAAGCCTGGGCTGTATCACTAGCTAACCGGGATTTCCCAGACAAATGGTACATACAGTACAGTAAGTGACCAAGTGCTTGGTCAGGGTAGGTTAGGAGTTCATTGTCCAAGGTTCTTCCAGCTTTCATCAAAGCTGTGTCTTATCCAGTTCAAGCTTCTTACCAGGTTCTGTGCTACTCGACTTAGAGTTCAGATGAGGTTATCAGCAAATACTACCTGTTGTCAACTTTGTATCTCCAGTGTAATGGACGTTTCTATGTTTTGGGAGTGTTCCCAAATTAATGGGTTTTGGAAATACATTGAGTCTGTGCTGGGTTATACATTTGGTGCTGTTCTCGCCCTGTTCCCAGAGGTCCTGTTACATTCTGTATCTGTTAACACTAGCTATGCTTGAGAGTTTCTCAGCAGACTGGAGTGAAGAAGACTATTCTGAGTAGTTTGATAGACTCCTGCTTTTTTCTTATGTGTGGATAGGTTATTTATGTGGTGTTTTGTCTCCAGTAAGGTTTGTGAATCAGCTGCACTCAGCCTCTATCGCTTTGTTGGTTGTTTGGGATGCTGCCGTTGATAAAGGAGCTCAGGTGTGAGGTTGTTTTTTGGCTAAGCAACTGTAATTGTGTGTATGTGGTTTGTTTTGCTCTGTAATTGCTTGTTTCTTCTCCTATAGCACTAAATTTAAAATATGCTGTTAAAAAAGCTACAACTTGCAGGGTGCCTTCAGACTTAAAGTGATATCACTGCTTTTTAATTATTTTCTATTTCTCCTTGAAGGGATGCCAACAGTCTTTTATCCTCTGTGGGAAGGAACCCAAGTTTTAACACAAATAAAAAATCAAAATTGAGTGCTACATTAGAAAAAATGGAAATTCCAGATTTTTCTGACAGATTAATTTTGGAATATCCAACCCAGGGTGTATCCTGCTTCGCAGCCATTGCTTGCTGGGATAGGCTCTGGCTCCCCTGCGACTCTGAAGTTGATCAGACAGTTAGAAAACAGGATGGATGGATATATTGGAACAATCTGGTTTAGGGAAAATTTGGCAGTGTACTGGGATTCTTCAACTTCTGCAACGTTGGAAATTTAGTTTCAGCAGTCTGGTTACGGTTCTGCTTTTTTTCTTTCAACAAATGATCTGTCCTAAATAGAAGCCCTACAGGTTCCCACAATACCCTCAGTATTTTCTAACATGGTATCGGCTTGATTTCCTTTATATGCAAGAAAGGATTTTCAGTTGATTTTTGACCTGGCATGAATAAATAATTGAAACAGTACATTTATGTCCCATCACAGAATACGGATTAACACAGAATATAATTTATTGGATATAATACCACACATCACTTCCCTTACCACAACCTGCAGTGGAGGTAATCCTGATTAAAATGAGACGGGACTGGAATGCAAGTCTTGAGGTTGGACTGCTTTTGGAACACATACCACTTCCTGTTTGCCTATAAATCCTGGTTTTATTGACCTTCTTTCTAATATTGTTCTCTTCTGAAATATCACTCACAAGATTAATGTCTTATAAACCTGTTTGGATGCAGTGTATTGGTGGTGTTAAAAGTAATGTCTGTAGATAGGAACTAACAGAGCTGATGGGTGGGAGGATGGATGCGAATATTGTGTATGATTTGAGAAGAATATTACCTGTAATTTTAAGTGCCAGCAATTATCACTTAGCCTAGTCGTGTTGGACATAGAAATGGGTCCTTTTTTATTAGCCACAATAACTGAGCATACAGTCCTGAAAACTCTCCTTACTCTTTGGTTTACAGAAATATCACCTCACACCTTTTAATGAGGTTAGCTGTGATATTTTCTAATTTTATCTCGGTAAATAACACATTCACAACTTTGGGCACATACAGTGCTCCGCCCCCCCCATCCCCCATGCCTTGTCCCCCTCCTTCATGCGCCCCCATTTCCAATTATTGAAGTCCCCCTCAGATCCCAGCAGGCGTTCTCATGAATATGCGCTCTTTGCTATCTTCTATGCTGAAGATCTTCCTCCAGACACAGTTAAACTCGAATGTGCTCTGCTAGCTCTGAAGTAGAAAGAGAATGATTTGCTCAGGGGGAGGGTCATAAATATATAACACATTCTGCTAAATACTTTGAATCAAATCCCAAGATGAGCTATTGGTCATTTCTTTGTTCTTTAGTGGCCAAAACAATTGATATTAGGGAGTTTAAACATTCTCAAGGTTTGTACAGTGTAAAGGAAAGAATTTTCATTAACAACTCTTATTGTTTACTGCTGTATGCCATAAGAAAAGCATAAGGAAAGTGTAGTCATTGCAAAGCACAGAGAGATGTACAGTAGAAAGACCATGACAAAGTAAACCTAGAGGGAACTGTGAATAGGGAATACATTGAAACTACTAAATACATGTAACCAAACTTTTTAAGGAAGTTTCCTTTGCTCAGTATTGTGAGCTATGTGAATTTTGGCTTTTTTCACTTCTCCTACCAAATACCTTTAATGCACCTGTTTTTTTTTTTCCGAAGGTCTAAATGGGAGACCCGTGTGCACAGTAAACGACGACTGGTATGCTTCAACACCATTATCTCCTCACCCCCTCATTAGAAGCCAGCTTCCTATGACCGTGTTGGGGGCCCCTGGAATCAAAATACCCTTTGGGGATCTTTATGGAAATAACGATCTGTATGGAAATAACACCCAGAAGCAAGGAACAGGTATGGTGCGTCTTCAGTGGTTCAACACCTCTGCCTTTTGAGCAGCTAATACCTGTTGCAGGTTTATGAATGGGATACACTGGGAAAGTAGAGTGGCGCAGGGCTGAAATAACACAAATTATTTATTTCCGTCTGCATGATGTTGTCATTTGCAGTAACATATAGTTAAGGCTCATTAACCATAGCCCCTCAGTTATCTACAGACAGGGAAGCCATCTAGTGGTCAAGTTCACCTTCCTGTATTCATATAGTAGGTTATGGTATATAGGAGGAAAGAACGTGTAAGATAATTTGTCTCGTTCTGAAATACCGGTAAACAGTAGCATCCAAAGCAGAATCGGCGTGTGTGCCAGGTGAGCAATGGTGAGAAACACTGAACTGCAAATGAAATGTGCTTCTGACCACAGGTCTGATCTCCGAAGCCTGGAGGGAGGAACTTAAAGATCTCGCAGCCCAACTCTCTCTCGCAGCTTCACCTGGGACGGATGGCAAAAAAGCCGTAAGCACACGCACGCGCACACGTCTCCTGTTTGTGCCAAATCGCATTCTCACCCGTTAGGTAATGTATATCATTGTATGAACATATGACAAGAAGAAGAGTCATAGTTTAACTTCTCAGGTGTAAGGCCTCAAGGCTGTTGAGGTTCTGTATTGGAGGTTATGTATGTGTTTTACCAAGAGATTTGGACGATACTGTATAAATCTTTATCTGTATGACAAGCAAGCCAAGAATAGCAATAAAAGTCTTTGCTTACTGGAAAAAACAATTTATCATTTCTAAGTGAGTGCTGAACAAAAGTCTGGACACTCTGTAGGTCAGCACAGTGAAGAATTTATGTAGAGTTTTCTCTTACCAAGAGCTAATTTACTCATACAGTATGTTGACTTCATTTTTATAGCTGACAATTAATGTGTGAAACAGCAGCGAGTAACACTGTCATATTGTATCGAAACAATTCATTTGTCATGCTTAATTGAGATGTCAAGCCTTGTCTTTGGGGTAATGGCCCTAAGGATTTACAGAGAGCAACAATATTTAAATACATCAAAAGCCTGTTCTTTAAAAAATGATTCTTCAAGGACAGACTCTTTAATGCCTGCACATCAAAGAGTTAACCATTGAAACAGTAGTAGTTCTTTCTAGTTAACCCAGTAAAATTCTGTTTTGCTGTGCTGTCAGTGGCATGTACTGTACAGTATAATAACCTGAGAATTTTGCTTCTTCTCAAATTTGAAATTTGAGGGCTGAAGCTATGTCCAGAGATGTGTCAGTTCTGCCATTCAAAAGATAAAATCTTTCACTTACAATAACAATAAAATAACTCTTAAACGAACCTAATGTAGGAATTGAATTTAACTACAGTTTTTACTTCAAATGCAAAGTTTAGCTACTATTTCTGTGGAACAATAAGAGATTAATTAGTTTTGGCTATAAAATCTTTTTTGTGCACTTTGCACACAGTCAACCCTATCTTTCTTTCCACATTTGAGTGTGGAATTAATCTCAATGTGTTCCAACTAATATGGTGATACAGCTCCTTACTCAGTCTGCTATAGATTAAACTAATTAGACTTCTGCTCCTATCATATGATATGCAGCTAATGAAATGACACAGTAAGCTGTGCAAATAAAACACATTATACTTATTAATCTAATTATCTGATATGTTTGAATTATTTTTCTGTGTTTATATAGGAGGTCTAAAAAGGCATTACCAAAAGAAAAAAAAAACATAAGCTCAATGTAAAGTTCATTTCAGGTTGTTTGTGAACACTGTAATTGTAGTTGTAGTTATAGCAGACTCTAAGTGTTGTGTTTTGTGTCAGCAGGTAGAGGAAGGCCCAGTTCGCAGAGCTACACAATATTCTGCACAGACTGGTCGCATAATCCCTGCCTCCTCGCTGCCCCCCAGCCGGCGTTCAACCCCAGCCTCCAGGAGACACTCCAGGGCCAGAGGTCAAGTGCCCTCACCAGCGTTCCATGACCAGGAACTCATGGTAACACCACACAGCTCTGACTGTAGTAATGGCAACTGTTTGTTCCTTCTGGTGCTCACAGACTCGTGATATATTCAGACGTGCCTGCCCTCTGACGCAGTTCCAGTGATACGCCTACAGTGCAGTAAGAGATGATTGCCACATTGCCTGATGGCCTGGGTGTGTTGGTGCTGCAGTAGCGACCTTGATCTCAGTGACAGCAATGCCAGGTGGATCCACCCACACTGCACTTATCTCCAGAACCTCAGCACTCAGAATCTGTCATGTCTTAAATATCTGGATTCTTCTTTTTTTTTTTGTTATTGCAGTTTAGAACAAAATAATAGTCCATCATCCACCACTTAAGTGCTGCCCCCACCTGGGTGACATATGGCCATTATACACCAGCACAAAGACCGTAGTCTGTACAAATGCAGACTGATGACTTTGACAGGAAGCACATTTATTACGGAGAACAGGAGACATTTCTTTACCCCAATGGGTAATGTGTGAGACTGGAACAAGCTTGTCCAGCCATGATGTTGAAGACCATACCCTGGCTTCGTTCAAGAAGAGCCTGGATGAGGTCCTTTGATTAGCTACTAGTATCCAAACAGTCTAGAGGAGCTGAATGTTCCCCTCTCATTGCACTTACATTAAAAAAACTAGAATCCAGGGATAAGGTTTTATATAGATCAGATATGTTGCAAACCCAAACACCATTGCTGGGTTTTTAGTAAAAGTACATTAACATTTATTCATTTTACAGATTTTATCCCAAGTGACTGTTCAATCACATCTGGTCAAGGTGCAACTTGATTTTTATTTCAGTGTTAGGTTCTAAAATTGCACTGATGGCTTGCACATGCTTTAGTCACTGAAATTATCCTCAGTCGAACATTTTGTTTTGCAACAGCGGTGTGCAATGCTATACAGCTGCCAAAATCCATTCTCGCTGCTGGAGGTTGTAAGTATTGGCAGGTCAGATACGGATTGACTAACTCTGATTCTGATATGTGTCACTCTGACCCGTCCTCAATCCCTTTGTCCCTGACCAGGTTCTGGAGCTTCTGTGTCAGATTCTGCAAACAGACTCCCTGTCACAGGTCCAGCAGTGGCTACTGTTAGCGGGCCAGAGAGGTAAGAGGCATAATCCCCTGATAGAGCTGATGCTTCAAGAATGGTTTTGTTAATTTTGGAAGCGATTCCTTTCTGTCACAGGTGTGCATTTTAAAAAATGCAATTCTACAATTACAGTTATCTGTTTTTTGGAACTACAAGCTTTCTTACATTCATCATAGTACTTTCCAATCCTTAACCCTTCTGCTATCCTGAAAATAAAGTATAGATAGTGTTTTTATACATTAATTCCATTCACTACACCACTAGGAAAATCATCAATCATTTATTTCATACCTAAAACAGCCTCTTTTGAATTTGAGAGATCGGATCAGCAACATATATTTAGTGAACTTCAATTAGTCTATAAAATTAAGCAGTTCCTGCTCTGCTCCTGGAGAGCCACAACCCAGCAGGTTTTATAAGTAACCATTAAAGTGTCAACTCTGAAGACTTGGAACAGTTGTGAAAGATTGCAGGTCATTTAGTTGATTTAAGTAATTCAGAAATCATTTGGAACAGAAACTGACAGCCTTGAGGGACAAGTTATTTTATTTGAGTTAATTATAAGTGCTCCTAACCTTCAGAATCCAATGATCTGTGGTGATATTGGAGATTTTCTGGATGGTATCTTTCCAGGACCATGGTTGGAGACAACTGGCATAAATGAACCAAAACTCCATAAAGAGCAGAGGTTCTCAGTACTGGTCCAAAGGGACCTCTGTCTGCTGGTTTCCATTCCAGCTGGGCCATCAGTCACCAGAGCTATTTGGTGTTGGATCTGTTTGCTTGTTTAGACTTTTTTTCTTTGCTTCTGTACTGATTTTAAAATAGCCCCGCTAAATTGCATTTCCATCAGCTTCACTGTACAGACCTTTGTACACTCTTTCTTCATCTTGCTAATTGAGACTTTCTTTCCTTATTTCTGACTAAAAGCTCTTAACAGGTGGCCAGTAATCAACAGGCAAAGGTGGGAATGTCACAGTATCAGACATACCCACATTACTTCAGCTTTTGTCAAATTGGTCACAATTCAGCTGCCACACCTGAGTACTGATGACAAATTCCATTCAATACTGTAAGAGCTGAAAACATGTTTTAAAATAGCTCTGAAATAGGCAATTTGTTTTAAATTTTCTGCTGTTAAGAACTTGGTTGGAAAGAAAAAACACGGGGACGCAGGTTTCCCCAAGACCAGGAGCGGAAGCTGCTGAAGAAGTATTGTGATTTCACAGACGGCCACACCTCTTACACCCTGAACCTCAGGTTCAGCCTCCACCTTTTGCTTACAATCTCTGACACTATTGAGATTCATGGCTTCTGTAGCTCATGTTTTCAGCCCCTTCTTATTTAGCAAACCAGGGTGTGGATGCTTAAGAGAAATGGTGAAGAAGCTACAGTACATATTCCTTCGTACATCACTTACTCTCTCACACCTAGACTCACACCAGTCTCTTCAGTTTAAATAATCTGTCAAGAAAGATATGTTCCTCTATATTTTCATATTGCCAGGCCGAGCCATTGCCATATCTATTTATATTAAATGGCTCTGTTTTTCTTTTCTTATAAAAAAAACCTTAGCCTTTATTTGACTGTTACAGCAAGAGGTATATAACAGTTTTGATATTATTATTCTTATTAGAACAAATTGCTGTTAATTGAAGGTTTTTGCCATTAAACTACATGAAATGTGCAGTACTGAAAGGATGTGCTGTACAGACACGGTACAGGCATTTTGTGAAAAACATTAAGGCATCTTAGACTTAAGTTTCATTAATGTAGTCATTGAAAGCTAACAAATACTATATCGTTAAACCAAAGGCTACTCTTGTGCAATTGATATTTTATATCTAAAGCCACTGAAATGTTTTTGGCATGTTTAGGGTTATAAAACGCATAACCACATAATGTGAACTGCTGTTAAATATCACAGTTTTCAAAAGGCATGTTTGGCACCGTTTATACAATTAGCACGAAGGCTGAGTTTAAGAGTAACTGAACTTTCCTTCCTGGGTCGTCTCGGAAGAGAAAGACCTGGTGATGCAGATGATCCAGCAGGCAGTAGACGTCAGCAGCCTTGACAGCCGACACACAAGTGGAAGCCGGGGAGAGCGGTTCCACACTCAGGGGTCTCCGCTGATGAGAAGGTCTTTCACCGGACGCAGGTTAAACAAACGTGGCCCCACTCGTTGAGTCTCGGAGCACGAGGAGTCGGCTCACAGGACGCCAGCGCGCTGGCACACAAAGCATGGCTCTGGCAGTGCCGGTCCTTTTGTCAGTGTGCGTTTGTGACCAACTCTAGACCACATCAAAGTCGTGCAAAATGACACATCCTTGACGAGCAGCCCTTGACCAATTCAGCACATGGCTTGCAGTGTTGGGCTAGCATGTATTCAGCATGTAGGTTTAAGGATTTTATTCATGTTGACGGGAAATGTTGTATCTTACCCACAAACCTATTTTAGCTGTGATTCTATCTCTCAGGTTTTAGCCTCAGATGCATGAGTTTTAATTACATACTGTAGTGTCCTTACCGGTAATACTGCACTGCATATGGCTAGTAATGTGGCATGAAGCCATTATCAGCAAATTGATTCAGTCATTGTGTTTCTGCTTAGATCCAACCAAGGGCAGAATCAAGAATCAATCAAAGAAGACGAGAGGCCAGGTAATACAATAATCTATATGTATGCTGACAAATCTAAAAATGTATTTCAGTTTTCTCGCACAGTGAATGTTTTTGAAAATCACTTAGCTCTAAAAGTAATCTATTTTTTTTTTTAATGTTTTGTAGACCGTATTGGAACTGCGGAGGTCCTTCAAATTCACACAGACAAGGCTGACGTTTCGTAAAAAAGTGAAATTACTGCAGATCATAACAAAACTTTGGTTTTATTTAGATACGCAAAATGTTGCTCCTTCAGATTGCCTGTTGTGTTAACAGTATTAGAAACTGTCATTTTAGTTCCTGATTGTGATTTGTAAGACAAAGAAAATTTGTAAGACGCAAGAAAAATTCATATACCCATGTTGTAATACTGAATATCAAAGACAATGATATAAAATGTGTAAAAAGAAGCAATAAACTGTCCTTAACTGAGCCTGATGTACATCTGTGTGCTAATTTATGCTTCATTGCTTAAGAAAGTGATGAGTGTTCGTGATTCTTGGTTTTAACTGGAAATTTAGATAGCTGTGCATTTGAATTGCATTGATTAGATGAAGCTGGTGTCCCAATGTGAACCTCAAAGACACCTGTCTCTTCTAGGTTTTGTTCGGTCTTCCATTTTCTAAGCGCTTTATCCAATTCAGGGGGACCCCAAGCCTGTTTCGGCAAGCAAAGGGAGCAAGGCAGCATACACTCTAGACGGGACACCAGTCCATTGCGGGGCAGACAGACAGACATTCACTCACACCAGGGCCAATGTTCCCAGGAGCCAGTTAACCCATCAGTACAGTATGTGTTTGGACTGTGGGAGGAAAACAGCACCTGGAGGAAACCCCCACAAATGCAGGTAGAACATACAGTACAAACTCCACATGGAGGGCTCCCCAGGTCCAGAATTGAATGCAGGGCTCCAGAGCTGCGAGGTAGCAATGCTAACCACTGCATTTCCATGCTGCCAGGTTTTGCTGCAAACGAGCTTTGTTAAAACTTAATTTGTATTTCTTCATTATAAAGTGACTACTTACTAGATAAATATACTCGAAATATTCAACTGTTTCAGACCCGAAACCAGAAAAAGACCAGAATCAGAGGAGAATGGGGGTCCCTGTTCTTGGCACAGAAACCATAATAACACTTCTGTTACATACAGTAGCCCACCACCCAGTTAAACTGATGATATGATTCATTTCAATTTTAATCTCTAAACCGTTAGATTCACTTCAAATCCTAAACTTTTCAGTTTGTCAAAATGTTCCACCTATGCATTAATTATGCTTGCATAACTAATCAATTACTTGGCAATTTGGCAGTTTTTATTTCTGCCTTCAGAAATGTTTAAACCCTAACAAAGTATTTTGTTAATTCCACCATTGACAAAGCAACTCTCCTAATTAAAAGATGTGACAATTATACTGATTATTAGTTATTACATTACTATACTACATAAGTTAGACATACACATGTCTAAAGTCTTGGAAAAAGTGTCGCAAGGTCAATGGCTGCTTTGAGAGGATACGTAGAGAGCTTACATCCCAGGGAGAGCTTATTTTATACTGCGTGTAACAAAATGTGATTGACAGTAATTGCAAACCAGTAGCTGAATGCTAATGACCTCAGGATCACACAATGATTAATCACTATGTACACCAGACTGTCTATGAAGTCACTTGACAACATAGCATTTTGCTCATGTAGCAGGTGTCTTTTCATTTAAAGTATACACAGCACTTGACATAAATTTAAGACCTTCGTACATTATTGAAGTCAAGACGGACTTCAAAGCTCTTCCTTTGACGGGATATTTAATATTTATTTGTTATAGTTTATACAAACACTGCATGCTCTGGGCTCCACGGTAGTGCAGTGTAGCACTGAGGATGTATCTACTATTTCCCTCCAGGATCTAGTACATGGCTTAAGTCAATTTTCTGGTGTCAGTTTGTCTGGAGTTTGCAGGTTCTCCCTCTTTGGGTCATTTTCCTCCTATGTCGCACAGATTTGCCAGTTAACTTTGAACAATCTAAATTGTCCCCTTTACTTTAGCCCCTCAATGGACTGGTGCCCTACCCTGTAAGGAGCTAAAGTGTGCTCTCACGTGTGTTTTTGCACCTTTACTTTTCCTGGGCAGGCTCTAGATATCGGTATGCAGCTTGCTGATCATGGAGAATGCAGTACACTCCCTCAGTTATTTCACCACATGTTGTACTGTGTGATGCTAACCATTTCCATCTGCCTCTGAAATGTCTGTGCCCTCCCATGAGGGAAAATATATTGTTCCCTAGGCCTCAGTTCATTATTAAAATTATATGCACACTATGATCATAATTAAGTTGTAAGAGTCATAAACTGCCGTTACGGATCGAATGTGCCTATACTTCCTAAAGTTTTAATAAAGCCTCAAATTCTTTTTGAACTAAATGAATTTCAGTAGAAACTTCACCTTCTGTGAATATTAATGAGCCGCAAACATATTAATTACAGTATGAGTCATTAAGAGTGAGACTTTCTGGGTAGGTCTTGGAGTTTACCAGGTGCACTCTAATTTAAGGTCAAGTTCAAATCATTTTATTTGAAAAACACAATTTCATTAAATCAATCCCGTAGTATGTACTGTAGCAATACAGAGATAAAAATGGTGTTTCTATTAATTCGTAGTGAGCACACTGTATTAATAAATGCCTAGAAAAAATGGGTTTGCACGAGACCATAAAAGCTACAGCCAGTCTGTCTCTTCTTGACAGACCTCTTCAGTGTGGCTCTGGACTCCCTAGCACAACTTTGCTAGGGAGTATTACAGCATTTTCTCTTTGTATTGAACCTATTGAAGTGGTATGTTAACAAAATATTGGTTTCAATTTTGGTTTGAAATTTTCCAGCAAAGGTTTTCTAAGTATCTAAAACTAAATTATTTGCTTTTCCAAAACTGAGCTTTATGCTGCATTTTGGAAGTCCTCCCACTTCTGAATGTTTGCCTAATTTCTCTCTCCAGATCTTTCAGGGCTCTGTTGACTCCGGGTTTCTTATCTGAAAGCCAAAAGAACAGATAGAGGCTGCTGTATTTAATTTCTCCTACCTTTCCCACTGCTCTGTGCTCTTCGTCATGAAGATACCTTGCTCGTTCAGATGTTTTCAACTTCCTCTTCTCTCTTTTGTGTGGGTTGCTGCAAATGGTAATGTATATCTATATATTCATATTCTAAATGCAAATGATTTGATTTCTTCAATTTGGTCTACACTGAAGTTTGAGATTTAAAACTGCTACTTTTTTGAGCCAGAGATGCATATCCAGTTATATAGGATGGCCAACCCTGACCCCAGAGATCTCTTTTTCTACTTTATCACTATGGGCACGTCCTTGGGTTTTGGAAAGGCACTTTATGAATAAAACTGTTATTATTAAATAATATTACTATTATGATGTCTAATGGCTCATCCTTTAATCATGTGCTCATAAAGAATTGGAACATTTTAGATAAATTGGACAAGTTGGACAAGTTTAGATAATTTGTTCTGCTACATTCAGGAAGTCCATCTGCAGGGTACTAATGCTTTCTTATTCAGATAATCTATTACTTAATTGAATTAAATAATGTTTAAACTTAAAAAATTTAGATTATAGAAGCATTTAGAAGAAGGCTGTAGTAGTTCAGGTGGGTAGCTGCGTCAGCATGTGTAGGCTGCAAAGGAACAAGTAATAGGTTTATTCCATGCTGAAAAAAAGAAAAAAGAAAACAACGTTTCAGCCGTGGAGCCTTCTTTTTTCTTCTTTTTTTCAACATTTAGAAGAAGACAGTGTAAAAAAGAGAGAGAAGACTTGCTGGACTGCAGAACCAGGGCTGGACTTCCTTGAACTCATTGGATGACATTATACAGCCAGTGTTTTTTCCATATTGCAAACAGTGTCACTTACTATTACTCTTGATGCATATGTTACGTACTTTGTCATTGTAAATGTTCCATTTCAATTTATTTTTTTGACTAAATGAAGACTCTGTAACTTTGTTACACAGCTGTAAATGTGAATTGCATGAGGCCTGAGAATCTGATTTTCCATATTAATTAAAATTCAGATAAGTTGTGATCTTTTAAATCTGTTTTTGTCGTATTAGAAGCCCACAAAATGTGATAGGAACATAGTCTGTGGAAATGTTACTGTATATTTGAAAGGCTGTATTGTAAATACAGTAAGAAGGTGACCTGGACAAATATACTCTTGGCCTGTACCAATCATGGCCTCCTAATAATCCCCATTATTAGGGCTTCTGAACGGGCTTCATCACTCTGTTCCCCTCCCCACTGAGAGCTGATGTGTGGGGAGCATACTGGAGCCCTACGGCTGCTGTCACATCATCCAGGCAGGGGCTGTAAAGCACTCTGAGAAGAGTGTCCAGAAAAGTGCTATATAAGTGTGAAGAATTAGTAGTAGTAATATATGGAAAGGAAATGCAAGCTTTTACTTGTAATATTCTCTACTGCAGCAAAGTTTGACTCTGGAGTTCTGTACACATACCTCTACACTGTGAGTGTCGGGCTGGAGCCAGCTGAAGCTGACCATCGGACAACTGCTGGATTTGGAATGGAAGCAGTCGTCCAGCTTCGTTCCCTATGGACTAATCCCAACAACGAGCAGGAACAGCTTGTGGAAATCAAAGTCAGTATCCTTCATTCTCATTCAGAATTGTTTAAATTTTCCTTCCAGGTGGAATGTTTCAAGATATTAAATGTAGTACAGCTTGGCTCTGAAATAGCACCTTTCTAGAGGCTAATAGGAACCTCAATATGAGATCTTGGTTGTTGCAAACGTCATATGGGAGTAGATATAAATATAAGTGGGACAATTTTAAACTTTGAGACTAAGATTGACTGATTGACTCATGTGTACTGTGGATGTATAAGTGTGAAATGTGTTGTTTTTATTTGGGCCACACTGAGGCAAATTCCAATCAATTTTGTTGACTTGGAAATAAAGTATTGAATCTTGAATCTTGAAAATATCGACATTCTTTTACAGCAATGCACTTTTCACACTGTTAAGTTTATCATCATATTTTTAAGTCAGGCTTACCAAAAATCCAGCACAGGGTCATGTGGGAGCAGGACCCTGTCCCAGCAAGCAATGGGCGAAAAGTGGGATATACAGTACCCTTGTGCCTGTTACATGCTGAGATAGGCTCCAGCTCCCTTGTGACCCTGTACTGGATAAAGCAGAGAATGGACGGATTCATAAACATCCAACTTGCATAAAAAACACTTTTTAAAATGCATTGCTTGTGGAGATATGCACATATAGTACAAGGGATATGATATACTGTATATTGTACGAAGGTTTAAAGGGTTATTTGTTTTGAAGAAGTGGATTTGGTGAGCATACAGTATGAGAATTCTATGCATTATTCAGTGGTATATGGTCATTACTGTGAATAACATTAATT